TTAAACACTTTATCGTCTTATCGTATCCTTCACCTTCAAAGAATTTCTTTCTTCTTTTTGTTTCTCTCCTTCTCACTATCTCATTCCCATTGAGTCTGCTCCTCTCTCCTCTCATATTTCCTTCCTAAAAAATCACTCCTCTGTAAGTCCTCTCCCAAATAGGTATGAAAGAGTGGATTAGAGACACTGTGATCCTCTGTTTAATCCTCAATTTATTCTTAAAGGGGTCCAACAGGCCTCAGAAGGTATCCCCTTCATTAAGGAGATACCTTCATATATTTTCGTTTCAAAGAGAACAAGGACAACTGTAAATTTGTCAGCGTGTATGAGATGGCTTAAATTCAAATTAGCTCTTTCAATGGATACCTTCATCATTGGCCAGACACCATGCAACTGTTTGCTTTAAAACTGCACAACTCTTTTCAGATGAACTGCTCCAAATAGCAGCATGAAAAAACTGCTTGGAAAAAGTGCCTGGTCTGTGATGATTTAAAGATACCAAAGGGATGAGAGAGGCAAAAATATACTAACAGTCTAGAGGCAAGATGACGCACACAGAAACTTATTTATTTATTATTTATTAGACTTCTGTCAATAGAATGTGTGTGAATTTGACATTTGGTTTGACACATCACAGGTCTCTGACATTTGGGAAATGTTTGCATTGACATTTTTTTTTTCAACAATCATGATTTAATTCGGGTGTCAATACAGTAAAAGACTGCTTTAGTGCCGTTAGGATGCATCACCATTGTCAAACCAACATCTGGTTTACATCCAAATATAGGTAAACGAGCCTCTACTAACATCTAACTGAAAACTTTCAGTCAGGCTTCAGAAAATACCATAGCACTGAAACAACATTGCTCAAAGTTACCAATGATCTTTTGATGGCTGCTGATGCTGCAACATGAGTACCAGAGAAACCCATTGTTATCCCATCGTTGTAGGGGCTCAGGTCACCTGAGACTATGGACTGAATAATTGTCTTCGTAGTATTAGCATGTTAGCACGCTGAGCTTAGCATTTAGCTCAAAGAACCGCTGTGCACAAATACATTCTCAGAGAGCTGCTCACGCGGCTGTATACTGTAAAGTTAAAATCCTGGCTGTCGTAGCTGTAGCTTTACATTACTTAATCATCACTTGTCTATGAATTTCAAATGCAAATGTCATGTCATGCAGACTGGGGAGATGAAAGGACAGAAAATTAGTGGATAAGCAGAGAAAGGATGAGGAAATGAATGAAAGAGTGAAACTGAGGCAGGCAAAACTAATCCCATTTTCCATCTTCCTCTTCCTCACTCCCTTTATCTCTACTCTCTTTCACTGAAACCTCACTGCCAAATCCTTCCTCCCTCTCTCTCTTAACACCCCCACTCCTCCCTTTTGTCTGAGGTTAAATGACCCCACTCAGTACAAGAGCATCATCCGGGGGAATAGATAACCTTTTAGTCCATCCTTTTAATCTCTCCCACACACACACACACACACACATCCTCTCTTTGTCAATGTATTTCACTCTCACTATGCCTCTCTCTTCTCCATCAGTCTCCCCAGTCCCTGCCTGCCTGTGTGAATGTTCAGCAGATTCAGATTTCAAAGTAAGAAATAGAAAAGGCTTCAATTACAAGCCACCCTTTCACATCTCTGCTTTCTCTCTCTCTCTGACACAAATTAATGTTTGTGAATATTACATTACACTTAAATAAAATATTTTTCCATCATCTCCTCTTCCTGCACTCTCCCTCTTCTGGTCATGCAGGTGCGAGGTGCCTCAGCATAGTGCTTGTGTCAGAAAAATATTTGAATCATTGCGACCTTGCTGGAGCTCATCATCTGCACGTCTCTGGGCAGCACTATGTGACTGTGATTGCTCTGCTGGATTGTTGGATCAGCTCCCTGGTGTGAGTCAGTTTTTTTTTTCTACAGTTCATCGCCCCCCCTTCTCCCCTACGGACACACACACACACTCATTCATGCTCCACTCTGTTCTCCTGCAACTACACTGACCAAATAAAACCTAACTAACCTAAAGACTAAAAGTCTAAAGCCACACCAGTTTCCCTGTTGGGCTGTAAATATCTTTACACACCAGAAAACTAAATTGACAGATGAAAACGGAACTGACAACTTCACACTTCTTAGATCCTTAGCACTAATAGGGCAAAAATGTCAAAGTCTGGCCTGAGGGTGGTGCGATAGAGGAGGCTGTGTTTATTTTCTGTACAGTGGGCATCTAAGGACACATGTCTTGTCTACGTTGTCAGACATAGTTCACCTTCCATCTGTCAAAACTAATTTTCTGCACCTGAGCTATTTGCTTTGAGCAGAGTGCTGGTGAGATGCTACATCACTGAATTTCCACTAATTTCATTAGTTTGAATATGAGCATATTGTACATATTAAAGCCCAAATTATATATAGTCATCCCTTTTTGTAGTCTAAAAGAATGTCAACATGTTTTTTAAATGTGTTGTTAATAGTTTTTTTATTGCTAAAAGTAACAAATAGCTGGATTAAGGCGTGTGTCGGTGTCTCTGTTTGATTGCAGCCACCGTGACAGATTACACTGAAGATAAGAAGAGATAAAGTAAGCAAACTTGCGCTTGTTTGATTGGTTGTGTTGAAATAAGGTCTCCATCTATGCAGATGGTTACCTAACGTTGTACTGTGCAATTAATGCAAATCTAGGAGGCGCCAAAACCAAAAAAATAAACAGGACAAGTGATTTACAGTTCTGTATGCTGTGGCAAACAAATAAAATGCTGTTTAATTTCATTGGACTTTAACAACTGTTGATGTTTGGTATGCAAAATTGAGTATTTTAAGCATGTTAGCACATATTTCATCAAATCTTGAATAGACAATTTAAGTAAGTAAACTTTATTTTTATAGCGCTTTTCACAGAAAGAGTCACAAAATGCTTTACAAAAACCACATAAGATAAAATGAACACCTGAGCTACATGAAGAAGTGAGCTAAAAAACACAGTACGTAATAATAATTACACAGTAGGAAAATACACGATAAATAGCTAATTAAGTAAGTAATACATTTAAGTGAGAGAGATTAAGAGCCAGGCCACTTGGGAGGCTAAAAATAAATAAAACCTGAGTTAACTTTGCAGTATTTATTTAAATTAGGCCCAATCACTTGAGATAACAACATTTAAATAATAATGCCTCCTTTTTTAATTTAGCAAACGATAGGGAGGAGGGGTGAAAGAGCAAACTCCATCTGTCCTGATGAACCATCATGCTTTACGTTTTAATTAAATATACCGCATAATTGATCAACAGCAGAATTGGACAACATGACAATATAAATCATGAGTCAACTGTTTATACCCAGTTAGCTATCTTTTTATTATATCTTAATGACAATATTGTTTGTTGCATCAATGTAATGAAGTCAGTTATTTAATCCACTGGATTATCCTGAAATAAACTTTGCCATCTGGTAATTTAATCTATAAATGGGATTTTCAGAAATGTACTATGTCACGATATGTATAAATATTAAGATTAAAAATGACCAAACTGTGATTAGAAACGTGTATCCATATTGCTCACAGATGTGTGTTCACATCAATACAGAGTAATGCTTCCTTTTTCTACTATATTAAAATCCAATGAAGATTGTAGTCAATAATTAGATAATGTAGACTGGGAGACTTTTCTGGACCAACATGAGTGATGCACTTGTTAGCAATAAAGAAAAGTCACACGGCGGGTAAATACTGCTCATGTGATAAATCCCTTCTGTCCTGCATCATGTCATCAACAGCCTTTAAGACAAACAGTCATTTTTAATGAAATTTGTGTTCCTCATATCAGCCCGTGTTGATCCATTTAAGACACCGGCTCACCCGTATCTCTGCTGAGGGCAATATTGTGTACTACAGATTTTTCACATTTCCAGCTGGAATATTATTACTGTGCATCTCCACCGTGACTGTAATTAATCACGGGGATTACAGCAAGCAGATCTGTGCCTGGGAACTGGAGATTAAAGGATGAAACCTGCGTTATGACATTTTTACCTTCATTTCTGCTGTAAAAGAGAGTGTGTATGTGTGTAGTGTGTTTAAATGCCTGCACACTTACACACACAGAGCGGTGGCTGGCTGATGAGGATCCTTGCTGTGTGCATGTCTGTGTGTGTAGACATTATGAAGGATGCTACTGGCCACTCTTATGTAACAACCCTGCCAGCCCTGATGCTAGCCACACCCCCTCTATCCTCTTTATTATCAGTCCTCACCTTTGTTCCTCACCCTGTCCTCCTTCTCTCTTGGTTTTAATTCAATATAAATGGGCTTCACTGAAATGAAATATGCAAGTACACTCTCTCCTCGCCAGTACCCTCTCCTCCCCCACGCCTCATTCCCTCAGGTCTCTTTCATCTCTCTCTCTCTCTCTCTCTCTCTCTCTCTCTTATATCCGCCCACCAGGTCTCTCTACCATGCTACCATGTTCCCCATCCTCTCTAACAGTCTGGTCCTCCCTTTCCCTATTCCTTGTCTGTCTCATCCCTGTCAATCCATCTCTCTTTGAACAACAGTATAATTAACCAATTAATTATTTCCAAGTTTCTTCCCCTCCTGTCCCAGTCAATCCCTCTCTGACATCTCCTTGACTGACAATGTGCTTAATTTAATTAATGGGAGACAAAATGGCAAATATTTTAGCCTGTTTTCCATTCTCTCTTTCCTCACTTCCATCACTTCTTCCTCTCCCTCTGTCTCACACTTCCACCCACCACACTTTCTCGTTTTTTGTCTCGATATTTGTCTCTCTGCAGCTCTAATCTCTCTGAGCACATTCTCCCATTCTTCTTTGCCATTACTAATAGATCAGTCATGGACAGATTAATATATAAAAGATGATTTTCCTAATTTTCAGCATTCCTCTTTTCCTCACCCCTGGACCTGTCAATCTAACATCTCACTAACTGCAGGCTAAATACCATTAAATTTCATTTCATTTTGTCCTTCACCTTCATGCCAGCTTTACCTTCAGGCATCAGGACGTGGCTGTCTGTCAGAGAGGGAGAGAGGGAAAGAGCAAAAGAGCGGTAATGAACAGTGTGTACTGATTTTCTGCTTTCTGCCGCTATCCTCTCACTGCTTGTCTTTGACTGCTTACTCTCCGCAATATTCTTTTCTATTTTGCACTTTTCAGTCCTGAAAGTTGCTCTTCTTTCCTTAGTTAAGCAGAAGTAGCCTGGGCAAGAGCAAAATACACATGTGAGACTTAACCTCAACAGGTTGAAAAGGTGCTAGGAGGCTGTTTGCAGAACTTAAAATTCTTGCTGCAGGCAGTTTAACACATTCGGGATGAGAGAGGCTTTTGATTAATGTCAGAAAAAAGACAGAAAGAAGAGCAAAGCTACAGTAGTCTAAATACAAGCTCATAGAATGACTGTCGCCATTAATGTTGTAAAAAAATTGATTTTGGACATTTCAAATGTGAAAGAAGCAAGTCTGTGCCAGTTACAGTAAAGAGGTATTTAGTAACCTATGTGGCCTTCATCAGCAACCAGGACGAGCTGCAACAATATAGCAAAAACAACACAACAATAGCGTCACATTTTTCTACCTAATTACCGTAGAGGTCAACAGACATGTCTAGTGTTGAGAGAACATATCATCATCTCTAAGTACTGAAATAAATATACTATTTATTTAATGTAGTTTGATGACTTGCCAACAAGAAAACTAGACTCAAAACAAGGAATTTCACAGCTGCAATATCTTCACTGTCTCTGTAACATTGTGATGCAGAAGCAACTCAAGGCTCTGCTGTTACCCTGGAGCTGATGTTCACTTCCTAAAAATGTAATCATAGTTTGGTGGTAATACCAAGATACCACATCACGCTGTGTAGGCTGTGAAAACCAGCAGTTCTCTGTCAAATCAGACATTGAACACCCCCATGTAGCCAAAACAGCACGATCCTCATTTCATAATGCCTTTTGCAAAGATTTGACAGTGAGACTGTCAGTCTAATCTGGCTGTTCCTATTGAAACATTGAATCTTCGACTATGCGGGGTCACCCCTAGTTCATTTAGTATTGCAATAGATATGCTTGATATTGTGATGTAGTACAATTTCTGGAGAATCAACTGAGGAACGTTTTATGGATAAAATAACACACATGAATGTTTGTTTTTGGCTAAACCAGCACACTAAAAACCTGAGAAATCAAGGCACAAATTCATCAAACTGAAGAAAAACATCTTCAATCCTGCTTGTTGACAGTGTTTGCAACACTGGGCATAAAAATGCAACCAGACAGACAGTATGCCAAAATCTCTGATCGGTTAACAAATTTGTACTGTCACAGCATATACTGTCTCATGATATAATCCTATGGAGCACGCCAAAGAGAAAAGCTCAGTAATGTCCTATATTTCCTGTGACATAAGAGAAGATGTTAGGTTAATGGTAATACATCCGCCAACAGATTAAATCCCATGCTGAACTATAAATGAGTTCATATGCCGGAAGCTTCTACAGAGACCACCATTCACCCTGATGCAGAAGCATAAATCCATCTTAACCCCCCGCTGCATATTCTGACAGCAGCTATACTGTAGGTATTTGGAGTCACTGAGGTGCCCCCCCCCCCTCCCCCCAAGCTCTCCTCTCTCCGTCAATACCCATCAGTATCTCAGTGAATGCTCACTACAGAGTGTCTGTGATGGTAGGTAAATGTCACACACCTTACATAATGCTGCAAGCACCACCTCTCATTAACAAAGCCTCCCGTAACCATGGTGATGAGTATCATCGGGCGACCCCCGACGTAACTTATGCTAAAAAGGCCAAGAGGTTGCTATGACAACTAGAAGGAAAACAAGACAGAGAGAGAGAAAGTTGGAGCGGGTTTCTTGAAGCCTGCAAACATTTACACGCACACACACACAAACACCTCTAGGCACACAAACAAAACAAAAAACAAAGCAGTTTATAATAAAAAAAAATGTTTAATTAATGTGTTCGTTTTCTACTTCTAGTCCCTTTGTATCATCATCATCCTCGGCTTCAAGTCCATCCCCCAGCATGTTTACTCTCTCTCTCTCTCTCTCTCTCTCTCTCTCTCACTCACACACACACACACACACACACACACACACACACACACAGTGTAGTGACAGCCTGAGTGCAGCTTGTGAGAGCAAATTCCCATGAATGCTGATTAGTAATAGGAAACATTTTGTTCTACTGTGAAAGAGCCTGTTCCATCCTGTCACTTTAGAAACTGGAGCGTTCATTTCCTCCTAACTCTCCATCATCTTGATGGTTGATGTTCTCTGCTGAGCATGAAAGCACTGCAACCCGTGATTTGACTTGTGCTCTCTGTGGCGCCTGACCTTCACCAATCTGTTTTAGTATTAAGTATTATGTGTCATAACCGGACAGATCATTGACTGCAACATATACCCGATGAAACCAACAACGCTACCTGTAGCTGCACAAGCATAGATCCAAACACGTGTGAGGCATGTAAGCACAACTAATGAGAAGAATTATTATAATTTGCTGCAGAGGACGACATAAACCAGGCACGTACGCCAAAACCCAGCCGAGGCTCCTCTTATGAAGACAGATGATATTCAGTTAAGAGATGTAAATGAATTAGGGATAAGTGCATTTAGGAAATGGATGGGTGGATGTAAATGAATTGATTCAGTGTCAAATAAAAATAATAGATAAATGGATAAGAGAGAGGTCATTTGAGGTAACATATAGAGTTACAATTAGACAGTGTTTTTTTGTATCTACTGCATGTGTGTATATATGCAGAAGCATTATCTCATGGCGTCCAATGTATTAAACCCAACAAATTTCAGAACATGTTAGAAAAATCCTTTGTAGCATATATTATCTTTGTATGTCCAGTGCATAATCAGTGGGGGGACCTCATAGTCTCAAGCACTGAAAGTATAGTTTTGATCCTTTTTCAGAATACATAATAATCTATGGATGGATGGATGAATAAAGGCCAGCTACTAATGATTAGTCACAATTGACTAATCCGCCAATTAAACTTTCAAAAGCAGTAAAAGTATTTTTTCTCTACGCTGAAGGTGACATTTATAAATTGTTTGTTTTGTTCAACCAACAGTCCATAGCTCAGAGATTTAATTCTCTGAACTCTGCTCTGAGCAAGCAGCAAATGCTCACATTTGAGGAGCTGGAACCAACAAACGTTTTGAAGTTTTGCTTGAAAAATTGATTGAAATTATGACTTTTTTGATGACCTACTAATCAACTAATCGGTTAATCAACTAATGGTTTCAGCTCAAGGTAGACAAATGGATGGAGAGAAGGGCAGTTAGACGGACAGACTGGCAACCACAACCACAACAAACTGTTTTACTACGGTTTCATGAAAACTAAATGCTAGATTCTTCTTCTTCTTAATAGGAAAACTAATTGACTCACTATGTACTGGAACAACAGCCAGGGGCTTGAAAAACATTACTTAAGCTACTAAACATGGAACTTATTTGCACTGCAAGTAAACAACAATTACAGGCTGCTTCAGTCTGCAACAGGAAAACATTGCTAAACAATCTGGGTGGAAAAACACATCTACTGTATCTTGTCCAGTAATTTCTATCTCCCAGAGGACTCACAATACTGTTACCTGCTCCATTTAAAATTTCCTTTTCAATAATTTAGGACAAGTACAGAAGCTACAGAGAATCAGTCGAAGTGGGAAACAGGTTTGGTTGCACTTGTAAGAATGTAAGAAGGAACTCATTTTGTTGCAAGGTTGTTGCATGTGATATTCCTCACATGATTAACCAGCATCCTAGACAAAACAGACAGATAATGTTTAGTGTAATAATGTGCATTTGTGGTTTTGGAAGCTACATGTCACTAACAAAAATTATTTTCACACAAACAAACACCTAGCATAGCCCAGGTCAGAAAGGCTTATGAAATGTTCCATCGTGTATTTGCAACAATCTATATCCACGATAAACACAAAGAAATGTTCTCTTTACTTGTGAGACAGGAGTGTTTTTTGTATCTCTTTCCTACCAATTAGAGAGCCGTGGCACCATGAGAAAGAGGCAGGCGGAGGGAGTTGAGTTGGTTTCATCCCACTCTACAATCAATGAAACACAGGATCTGTTCCCACAGCACTGACGACACACACAGACCACCACCCACCCACACATCAGACCACACACAGACACACACACAGACACACACACACACACACACAGACACCAAAGTGGATGCTGCATCATAACCATACCAGCAGGCAGACAAAAAGATAGCAACAAAAGCATTAGGCCCTGAAGACAAACACAGGAGGCTGGCGTCAGAGTCTGATGGGATAAAAACCTGAGAAAAGTGTTGAAATTAACACAGAGGACAAGCCGTCTCCCAGGACTAGCCACCTCCTTATCACTGTCCCAAAATCCTGGTCCTTCACTGATGCAAAACTGATGCAATAGCTTCCTGTCTGCTTTTTCTGATTCAAGTACGGTCCTGTTTTGTGCTGGTGTACATTTTCATGAGTGCTTTGGCAGAAACAGTACACATGAGATATAATGAGAGAGAAACCAAACTGACTGAAGGGCTCCTGACAGAAATGCTGTTGCTGCAAAGAACCCAACCCCCCCCCCCCCTCCCCCAGTGTTGTCCAGGACTAGAGGACACTTGCAAAAGAATCCAAAATTCCTACCAGGCATCAGGGGAGCAGTCTAATCGGATCAGGAGGAAATATTTAGCCAGAGTTATGGTTGCTCAGAGGAGATTTTCCATAAGATTTTAAACCAGAGTTGCATTTCCTCTTTCCACGAAAGCCACTTAAATGTTTCATCTGTCGTGTATAATAAATAACAGTTTGTCTTTTTGTCAAACAAATACATAAAAACACCTCTCTTTCCTTCACAAACTGATCAATAGGAGCGCGCACACACACATACACACACACACACAGAGCTGTGTGTGTGAACTCTCCAGAAATACCTCCAATCAATCAGAAAAAAAGTACTCAGTCACACAAGCACACAAAACTGCTAAAACACACATACACTTCTTAAATAAGCAAATTATCTCCTGATCAATCAGAGAAACAACAAGGCTGATCAATTGTATTGATGCTGATGACAGCGTCACTCAATCATCCACGGTCCAGAGCCAAATTAACGCTTTTGATTTTATCACCTAAAGCCTGCTTTCACTCCCATGAGACTAGAATACTGGTCTCCACATGAAAAGAGTACTGATGCCCAGATCTGAGTGAGCAAGAGTCAAAGCACACCGAGGGCAGGGATACCTGCTGCTTTTCCAAGTGAGAACAAAGATGTGTTTGCTGCAAAAATATAACAACTGTGTCCTGATGTTCCCGGGCACCTCGGAGCAAATACAAGCTGCTTTTGGTTTAATGCCAGTGTGTTAGCTTGTTAAGATGTAGTCAAGTAAAACTGCAGGCGATCTGGTTTGATCAGTACTGCGTCAGTGTCCAGAGACTTTTAGCTACATTCGGATCTCAACATTAAGGCGTTAGCCTGTTCAAAGAAGCTACTGTATGCAAACAGAAAATGAAAAGTGCAATGTAAGTGTGCAACGGTAAAAAAAACAAAACAACTTTCATTAGCTTTATAAAAACTTAAAGACTGAAACAAAATACAGCTGAAATTTACATCAGTGTTTACACTTTACACCTTTTTTTTTATGTTAAACATGGATCAATTGATTATGTGTAATGTGAAGAGGGTCGCTCATAGTGACAAGCTACAGAGAATCATAACCTGACTGTGCAGCTACCCTCAGCTCTATGGAGCTTTATAGTCTTTTTCAGCTCACTGTTTTGGTTTGCCGCCCGTAACTTTGCTGCTTTGGTTCACTCCCACCGCTTTCGTAGCATCATTTTCTTCCACAGCAGGCAGCTGTTTTCAACAAAAGAAACTCTGAAAGCACCAAATGGTAGACGGACAAAGTTAGCAACTAGCTGGTGAACATACTGGAGCATTTAGCAGCTAAAGAGACATATATATTTTCCTTAAGAGTTGGTGGCGACCCAAAACGGAGCTAAAATAGATATAGAGAGAGAATATTGGAAAGAAACAGAAACTCCAAATGAATGCTTATGTTGCTCTATGTCTGTGTCTATATCAACTTGACTGATTCCATTGTCTCCAACTATCCAAAAAAATCAGTTATTGCAGGTTTAATATGGGGTGGCATTTAAAGCCATATCATAAATGCATGCACACATCAAACTAAAACAAAGACATGTTTGTCCTTCCAACAGTGGGCACTACAGTTTGGATTTAATCTTGAGTTTTAAACAGTTGTCTCACCTCTGTTTGTTGTAATAGCACAGACAAAGTTGATGCTATCAGTTCTGTTTTAAAATAATCAATATTGCCACCTATTACCAATCAGAGAGGGAGCAGTTGGGGAAAAAAACATGTATGTGTATGTGTGTGTGTGTGTGTGTGCCAGTGAGTAGTGTGTGTTTTATGACACAGTGAGCACAAAGGTCTAAGGTTCAATGATCAAAACATTACTCAAGGCCCCACTGCACACATACACAAAGGATAAAAAGTGTCTGTTTTCTCCCATTTTCGTGTTTTGCAGACTCTGAAACCTGCAGTAACAAGCCCCCACACCCAAAACTAAGCTCCATTTCTCTGTTTTATATCACACACACATATGTAGACACATACACAGGGGCCTGGCCAGTATAGCTAATCTTCTTAGCAATCACAAGGTTTGACTGTTGGAACAGAACAAAGTTCACATCGTCAACAACAACAGAGGTGGCATTTCTACCAATGACAGAGAGACGGGGAGACAAAGACACCAAAAGAGGCCGACCAAGAACAAAGACAGACATAAAAGAAGAGACAGAGAGTCACAACTTTACCTCTGGACTGAACTGACCATATTTTCTCCCTGAGGTAATTTTTTGTGGATTATCTAGCTACCATCGGCAGTGAAACCTGACGTGACACACTGGCACTTTCTGAATTGTTTTTTATTTATTTATTTTAAAGCCACATGACTGACGTCGCCAAACACTTCACCTTTGGACATAAATCCTGGCTACAGAAGACAGTTTCACATCTGTAAGGACAGCTGTCTGGACAATGTTTTAACTCTAATCTGGCAGCCATCTGCCAATCTTTTCCATCTACATCCAGTCAAACCTGCCTTTTTGTGGAATCTGAAAGTGTAAGTAAATATTTTGAAGAATACTATCTAATGAGTGCTGTACCTTTAATAAATCAAAATTGTGTTTCCAGTGAGTGTAGGTAGTTGGTTTGAGACACTCTAACCCTACACCAGTGTGATTATTCCTCTGTATTTACTATGCTTTTAGCTTTAGTGGCTGGAATTAAGACATTTAGCAGGTATTCTGTTTGCATGTGTACGTACAAAAGTGCACTCACACAAAATCTCTCAGGTTAGCTGAATACATTTTAAACATTATAGAATTTACACATTTGACTTCATAAGAAAAACTGGAACAACCACTACTACAGTGCTTCGTTCTCAAAATCTGACTTGTTTGAATTAGGGCTGGGAGATGAAAATGTTGAAATGAACATCACCATACACATCATTACTCAGAATCAATGTTCAATGTATGGAAAACCACATGGTAACATTGATTCATTCATTGTACTGGACAATGATGTTAGGTAAACAGAAGTAAAAAAATATTGTTTGGACTTAAAAAAAAAAAAAGCGTCAACACCACCAATAATCTGTGATTTTTTTTTTCAGTTCCTACATGAATTCCACATCAATAGTCCAATATAGTTCAGATCAACATAAAAATATGACACCTAGACTTTTCTACATTTAATTGAAAAAGAAATTTTTTTTTTTATTATTATTTCCCACATCTGACTTTGAATGGTAAATCTTAGTTGGAAATTACACTCAAAAGTGCTTACTCTTGTATTACTTGTTAACTTCTTGCTACAGTATATTCTCACAAATACTTATTATTTGTTAAAGTTTATAATATTGAAGTAACTTTAAAGGATTTACTACCACCATTCTGACCTTTTCAATTATTATATCTCAATATGTATGTAAGGCCTGCTTCACTTTTAAAAATATTAATTTGAATGCTATTAAAATAACCATAATATGTAATGTGGAAGTCTAACAAATGTCTACTTTTCAAGCATTTTAGCCGAGTTTTTAATCTTGGTGCCGAGATCTCTTTTGACCTTCACATCACTATTACTACGGTCGCATTAATCCTGACTTTCTTTCTTCTAAATTTGCACCCTCCTGTGCAGGAGCAGTATGGAGGTGCTGAGCGGCCCCTGGGCTGATCTGGCTCTGCTGCTTCGACAGACCGCCGTACAGACGGACAGAGAGACAGACGGCTTTCTTCCTCTCTGGCTGTTCGGTCTGCTGCTGTTCCTGTCTGTCTGTCTGCTGCTGCTGCAACTTATCATCTACCTCAGCTGGAAACTCAGACAGGGTAGGCATCTTATTAACTTTTCATGCCCAGACCTCTTGCCATTTTATATTTACTGTGGGGCCCTGTAGCTAAATGGATACTGTAGAGAGAGGTCTTTCTCCGGGGTCACACACACTATAAATACAGACACACTCCTCACCAAATTGTAAGGATTTTTGCTGAAACTGTGCTCCAAAGGGGAGCTTTAACTGCATCTCAGTCACTATGGTTACCACAATAAAGAATAAAACACAAAGTGCATCGAGACGATTAGTTATACCTTTTTTTTAACCTTTATTTATTCAGGGGAACTTCACTGAGAGGAAGCCTCTCTTTTGCAGGAAGGCCCTGATCTCATTCACACTGTTACCTGGTACAACCGCAGCCACCAAGCAGCTCCTCTCGAGCTTTTGGGGTTATGGCCTTGCTCAAGGGCACCTCAGTGGTGGTAAATGAGGGAGGGCAAGCACTGCTTACTTTACACATCCAGATTTTATCCTGCCGGTTCGGGGATTGAACCGGCCACAACAGATGGTTTTCCTCTGATCTGTGTGCTCACTCTGTTAATAAATGTTGTTTTAATAGGTGAACATGACTCCTATAGACACAGTCATACACACATCCAACAAAGATCATGGATCCACTTTCATCCTCTGCCCTCATTCTTCCTAGATAAATGGAAAATTACTTTTCACATAGACTTTCTTTAGATCAGCGCCAATTTGTCCATCCATCCATCGTCAACCGCTTATCCTGCGTACAGGGTAGAGGGGGCCCCAATTTGTGATTTTAAAAAATGATTCCAAAAAATTACAGCCTTGTAAATTTCACAGGTCATCCTGATGTCTGTCATGTGCAGCCATCTTAATGCCCAAAAAGTGTTTATGGTGACTACAATTTTTATGTCCTTGACACAATCAAGTGCAGTTGGCATTTCCTTCTGCCGTAACAATGCACCAAATGTGTATTAATGTATCAAAATAGCCACCAACTCCTGTTTGAGTAATATTAGCTCACAACTACAGTGCCCCAAAGATAACTGAAACAATGTTTTGTAGAATGGCTGGGCTTAGATAAACGGTGTGTTCAATGTGCCGTTTGGCCAACTATAATCAATAATGACTCCATCTGCAGTTTACAGTTTGTCACTGGTACTCAAATTAAAGAAAACGACTTTTTATTTATTAAGACTTCATCATATACTGAAGTTGCATTTTGGGTGGGTAATGGACTACAGTTCTTTGAATATACACTCACTCAGTAATGTGGTGATCCTCCTTGCTGTCTTTTCCCGGTTGGTATTTGTGTGTAGATCCAACCCTCACCAAACCATAGGGGCGACTATTACATCTTGTAAAACATTGAAAGCCATTCTTTGAAGTTTCTAGTTAATAAAACATTCCCAGTTCCAGCGACAAAAAGTGAACAATATCATACTGACAATGATTTATTATAGTCAACAATGTTTAGAGGCTAACGTTAGTTTAAGAGCTTTTAAACTGCTGTTAAGCTGTTAAGCTAACTTGCTGTTCTCATTGCTGTAAAGTTACATTTCTTTAAGTTAGCTCGTGCTTCTGTGGTAGCTTTCAAAGGGGAACCACTCCTATATAATTCTATTAACTTGACGCTACAAAAAGTAAACACATCTCATTAACATATCTGCTGTCACACCTGTAACCGTTACTAAAACAGGAGGGAGAATTGACTGATGGCTTTCACTGCGCAAGCGCACACAGTATTTTCACCGTTTTAATGGATTTCCAATGTAATTAAAACCCAATTATAATAAACAGCTTTGCAGACCTAAAAGGTGACTTTATATGTACTTTGATGACCACCTAAATCGACCCTATTTAGTGATTTCAAAAAATTCAAACTGGTTAAAGTACATCTAAGGCAGGTAATAGCCTTATTCTGCTTGCGTTCGCAACTATTGTCTAACTCAAACCCTGGTAACATTTAGCCTAGTGTCAACACTATTATTCATGCATTGTGTATTTTGTGGTCCATTTCTTCCAGACTACGTTTCAAACAGTGCTCTGGATGTATTTTCTTTCCCCCACAGTTGAAGGGGATCTGTCGACGCGTCCGCAAAGCAGAAGCGCCATCTACAGGCCGATAAACAGAAGTGCACACCTGAGGAGGCGGAGTGTCGGATAGCACTTGCACACCTGACAGGACAGACACTTCACCAACAGAACAGACATTCAAACCATCTGAAAATGGACACTTTCCAGTCAGCGTGAGCTTACACTATCTCAACAGAGCACTGTGTCAGTGTAAACACCAGCAGGGACCTGGGAGGGACATATCAGGCAAAATGAAGGTGCCCTAAGAAGATCTGGGAAAATTACTTGTCTGTTATACATCTTTAAAACACTCAGGGAAATCTGGACTTTATCAAGACAACTGTCTCTAACCTCTGAAAAGATATTATGAAGCTAAAGGCATATTTTACAGCTCTATTTATCCTATCCTATTTATTTAAGCTTGGGACAAGCTGTCACCCTGAAATTATTCTTTTTTTGTGAATTAAATATTTCATTATTAGACTACCTGACTATCTTAAAAATGGTTACTTTTATGTACATTAACATATATGACTTCAGTTTTTATCAGTAAATAAACCAATGAATGAATGAATGAAGAAATAATATGACCATGAGTTTTCAGAGTATAACAATCCTTTATTTAAACAGTGTTACATAGGGGAGGAGTGGCTGTGTGTGTGTGTGTGTGTGTGTGTGTGTGTGTGTGTGTGTGTGTGTGTGTGTGTGTGTGTGTGTGTGTGTGTGTGTGTGTGTGTGTGTGTGTGTGTAGGGAAACACAAGACAGTTAAGCTGCTAGATAGAAAAACACTACCAGTGATCATTGGTTGGCTAACAGGGAACGGTGAGGCAGCTGTGGTTGGTTCTCCGAAATTTGTTTCTTTAAAAAATTTTGCTGAAAGTGAGTTTTAAGTAGTTAAAATACAAAATTGTGTTGGTATTTATTGACTTTTCACGGTCTCGTCTGTCCAAACTGTAGTCCAGAGCCTGACATATAACTGTAAAGAACATAGTCCAATAATCATTTGTCTTTTGAAACATCTGCCTCATCAGCCTCAGGCAGAAAGAAACGCAGCATGTTTGTTGGTTTTTCTGTGTAACATTGCCCTCCATAATGTTACAATGTTTTGATCCCTGACACTTTTAAAATCAGCTGGCGTTGAATCATCATTTCTTGTTTGAAGAGACACTATGGAGTTGAGATGGTAACCACTGAGTGACCTCAAATGAAACTCACAAGGAAAAGCACAACCAACATTTTGGAAAACCAGACCTTGCAGCCCCAGAGCTCCTGTGATTGGTTAAAACAGAGCCCAGACCCCCTCCCGGAAAAGAGGTTAAACCTGGGGCAAAAAGTACAAAAAGGAAATGGTGGCAGAAGTGTTTTGGATTTGTAGTGGTGTTCAATGTCAAAAACACTGACAATATTAAAAACATCCAAGAGGGCGCACAATAAATCCCACCTTTCAACTAGATCAGTTTCACAGAGAAAAGACGACAAACGAGAAAATCATCAGACAAATATAGCCGTTGTGATATAATCGAAGCCTTTTAAAAAGATTTTTATGTTTTTTTTGGAACAGCGAAAGCTTCCAAAGCTGCCTAGTGTTGCATGTTTTTTATTTATTTATGTTTTTCTGCTGCTTTGCCTCTTTGCAAGAGGGTTAGAGGTTAAAGCTTCCCCCTCATCTGGAATGTCATTTAACTGCATAGTAGAGGTCAGACCAGTGTTTCCCAGTAGAAAGCCTAGACAGTCATTACCGCTCCATGGCCTGGACATGACTCAGTCCAGAAAGAAAAGTTTAAAATTGGGGTTAAATTAAGAGGCACATACTATTTTAAATTCGGAGAATGTGTGAATAGAAAGAAAAAAATTCAGTCGACTCCCAATTCAAAACGTCACTTTGTCCAGTCAGACTGGAGGGTTAAACAAATCTAGGTAGGAATAGATGGAATGTTTCTGTATTAAATCTGTGGCACTTTTTTTGCTTACAATCAGCTGAATTTCAGGAAAGTGTTTCTGTTTTTCTGCGTCAACTAAATGCATTAGACCAAGAACCTTGCTCTAACCCATTTAATGCCACCAATATTTACACAAAATCACATTTTTGTGGAATTCTGCTGAACACTTGGGGTAAAAGGACACAGAAACTGAATAAAAACATAAAGATATTCCATTTATGGGGTTCAAGAGCACTTCAAACCCTCGGATAAGACTTCCCTTTTAAGCTGCGTTTTACTGCTGTGTTGTAACCGTTTCCATGCCTGGGAGTAGTGTACTGACTGATTCAGTCCCTTATGATTTTGTGTAGCAGAATCATGTAGAATAGAACTGAATGTCATTTTGAAACTAAAATAGGTCAAAAACATAAAATTTATTTTACTGCTGAAAAACACTTGGTCGCGGTGAAGCAGTTACAACGCAGCCATATTATCTAGACGTCCGGTATGAGCCAAGATAATCTGTCATCTAAACGCTCTAAAACCAATCAATACAGAAGGCTTCTATCTAGACTCACTCAAGATAGATAAAACTGTGTGAAGACATGCTGAATTGAATCCCAGATCTCATGATATCTAGCAGGTTTTCTTGCTATTGTCTAGTCAGGTATGAAAAGAAGCTGGGAGCGAAATTAAGCTAAACTATGGCGACAAACAGGCTCTGATGCAGAGTTAGCATGCTGGTAGAAATCCCATTATTTTGAATTCTTGTTTCAAGTTGTTCCAACTGTAAATCCTAGTTTTGGTACCTGTGCTGGTTAGAGCACAGTACTCTGAATAATTTAAATAGCAGATTATGTATTAAACATTGTCCTAAGCATATTAAAACAGGAGTGAAACTTGCCGTAGAGTAAGGCCAACATGCATCAATGTTCAATTCATTATCACTCCCAAGTTGTTGGTTCGGGCACTGCACAGCGCCACCTCTATCTCCCAATTATCCTTCAGTTTACTGGTCCTCTCTCCCAATCATAAGTCTGCTCCCTTGTTCCCCTGCGGCCCAACGGGAATGGCTAGTGTTGTACAGTGGGCGGGCCCAGGGAGAGCGTTTAAGGTAATAAAAAGCTGCATTTCTGCTCCCATCTAATCATCTTCATTAGTTTTTTACTGTACAGAAAGTTGTATAAACCGGCTTTAAAGTCAGTTCATTTTCAGTTCAAATTCATTTCTGTGTAGTAAAAATTCCAAAATAAAGTAAAACGTACAAATATATCCTGCACCATTTGGCTTCTCCAGATTAATTAAAGTCAAACCCATTTATCCGACTAAGGCTCCGTCCATCCCCGCCGGCTGTGAAAAAGGTAAAATTAACTGAAAATGAACTCACTCAGCCAACGCGAGTCAACACACGAGGAATGTGGATGAATACTAACCAAATCATAAAAATTCATAAACCAGGTTGATTGGTTCTTACTGCAGTATTTTAAGTTACAGCTCCCTATTTTCTGTAATTATTAGTATTACACTGTGATAAGGTGACACAGCTGGTTCACCTGAATGTGTTTTTTTTTTTTACTTTGTTACACTTTGAAAAAAAATGTTTTCAAAGACCAAGTTGTTGCTGTAGAAATTCACATTATGTTTACTCTCTATTTAAATCACAATCAAGTGAGGGAGCTGTAATTTAACAAATTACTTTCTTTTGTTTGCCAGGAATGCACCAACACAACTTTTCCATCGCTGATGCAGATTCCAAGTACATACCGTCCGTGTCAAATGAATGACTTTCAGACAAAAATTTCCTTTTTGAAATGCATGAGAAACTTTGTTTTGACTTTTCAGTGTTATTGAAGGTCACTGGTACAATGGTATAAAAATCTTTTTCAGCCTTGTATCTCATCAGGATTGGTTATCAGTGCATCCCTACTAATTTTATTTTTGCAAGACATGACAGACACACTATCTTCTGTCTTTTTGTAAAACAAACAGTTAAAAGAAAAAAAATGCTCTATTAAAAATTTAAAACACGCTACAAATGTTAAGCTAACAAAGTGGTTCTTTTCTGTTCCCTCAGGAAGAGTGACGATATTATTATTCTTTTTCTTGGTTTTGGAGTGAGGGATTTAGACGCACCACAAACATGTAAGAGAGACCCACTGGGAAGAGATCGGCAACGTCTCCCCATTTGTCTACCCCCTTCTCCTCCTGTGTTTCAGCTCCTCCTCCTCCTCCTCCTCCTCTTCAGTCAGTCAGGGTTGGTTGTTGCAGGGTTATGAAGGTCGTTAAACGTCAGAGAAAACAGTCACGGTGGGCCCTTCAACTCTGGGAAAATAGAGGTGAAGGCAGTCAGCCTGGGTGGTGCCGTGATTGGCACTCAATATTAGTTTCCTACTCAAAACACTTCCTTTGTACTCCACACACAGTCCTCCGTCAGTCACTGCCTACCTTCCTAAATTTAATATCTTTTCTGTTCAACTTCGCATGTGTGATGATGGCTGGTGATTTTAACAGCTTCACGTGTGGGAGTTTCATCTCACTGATTTTCAGCTTTTGTCTTCAGTAAATATACCACTATATGCACCCCCCACTGTTAATAAAGACCTCCAACATTAATTCACCATGAATAATAATAATAATAATGAGTTACTATTATTATTATTACCTGAGTTCAGTCAATCCTCCTCCTCAGCCAGTTCAGTTTCTTTATGAACCACCACTCTGGTAACAGACATGTCAGGATGTTGCTCTTTGGCCTCCTTAATGGCCTGGGCCAGTGCCTGCAAGTACCGAGGGGCAACCACACAGTGGCAGCACCGAGCACAGCAGGCAGTGGGGGAGGTGGAGGGACAAGAGGGGAAATGGTGGAGTTAAATGAAAAATTAAATAAGAAGCGTAAAGAAAATGACAAGAATGCTGGATTTACGCTCAACGCGCTATTTTACTTCTTTAGGTTAAGTGAAGGTTAACTGTATGAAGTAAAATGGCCTCAGATGGAGCGCATCAAGTAGAAGAAAATTACTAAAAAATAAATCCCATTCGCAACTCAATGTGACACAAATCTGTTGCTTTTGTGTAAATCCAGCAGATCAAGCAAGACAAGCAACTTAAAGAGAAAAACAAAACAGTGGACGATGGATTTTACAGAAAGATCCAGACCTGAGCAAAAAGATTTTCATTGCTTTCAGATATTTTGAGGGCACTACATGCAATTTCCTCTAGTTTAATTAGTGTTTGTGGCCGGACTGAAAGCCACCCATTAGAAAGTATCAGTTTCTCACATTTGAGAAATACATATCACCCATCACTTTCAAATATCTGAAATGTCTTTAAATTTATTTTATGAGGTCTTCAAACTAACTTCCGATTGGGGTTTATAAATCATATATTTTACAGACCAGTCAGTGACAATGAACAAAGAGACATTTTATATTGTTTTGAGTGTGTTTAGCGTGAAGGATTCATCACATCTGGGGCAGCTAAAGTACAAATTTGATTTTCTTTCACTGTGAAAATCTGACAATCAAAGACAAAGACAGAACATTTAACTAAGCAAGACGAGCAACAAAACAACACAGCATGGCAAAAACAAAAAGGTCAAGACACCATTTTATAGATGTATGAATGAATGAATGAATGAATATGTGAAGAGATGTCGCTGATCACAGCCAATGAGTGGAATCTTGAGTGTGACTAATGGCCTGTGGGCATCTCTATTAAGTGATTAATAAATCAAATTGTGCATTCATTCTGTGAGTAACATGACAGACATGTCACCAGAAGTCTGTCTGTTCCCTTAAGTCTAAGCAACCAGAAAAAAAACGTTAATTAAAGTAAGCTGGGGCTGAAAATTTAACAAGGTTTTTCAATTTTAAAAATAAAATTTTAAAAAGGTGCACCTGGATTACACATCTGTAAAATGATACTCAAAGAGCCTTTCACACCATCTACATTTGGTCAGATTAAAGCGACCCATCGACCAAGTTGCTTCAACAAAATAGTAAGGCGTAGGCGCGGAAAACTGACCTCGTCGTGGTCGATGTCGCAGTCGCCAGTGATGACGATGCGTTTCTCAATCCTTGTCTCTGATAGGCCGCCCTTTAACGTCTAAAAGAAAACATACAACAACAACGCTTTGATGCCTGTTATTCTGGGTTAATCATGAACTATTAAGGTCCTCCTGGGTGCTGTTGGGATACTGCCCAGTGTGGCTGGCATTGTCACGATAGTCCAAGGAAACATCAAGAGAGAGACTGACGAAAAAAAAGGTCAAATGACAGAAGAGTGCAGTTCTTCTCAACACAAATGCAAAGTACAAATAATGTAGTAGCATGGCAAACTTATACTGTATACACAGTATAAACCATGATAAAATGTGTAATACTGGTACAAATGTGTTTCTGTATGCACAGATTTTACACATTAATGTGTATTGTTGTTATATTAAATTGACTGAGTCATCATAATGTAACATCTTAACGCATTTAGAGGAGGAAATGTGTGTTTGTGGTGTGTGTACCTTGGTAATGTGTGTGGTTGTGGTAGTACACAGAGATTCAGAGGTGATTGTCTGAGCAGTCATCAACACTCCGGGCTCGCCGTCGCCGTTACCATCCAACTGATATAAGAGGAGACGAAAAGAGATCATTAATTAATGTGCATTCCCACTAGAATATCCCCCGTTAGATGTTTGATGTTCTAAATAAACGCTTTTGTCTTCAAAAAAAAAAAACCCAAACAACATTTCTCTGAGGAAGGAGGAATCAACGGCGACATGCACTGTAGCTACAAAGGAAGCTTTTTAGGAAGGTGCTTTCAAACAAAACATTTACATTTTGAAATAGTTATAAAATCTAAATATTTCACACGAATACAATACTAATGCTGACCCACGAGAAAAAAATAAATAAAAAGCTCCCTGTGTTTCTTAAGTGTGCACCTGTGCGGCTTCATATGTGATGGTCTTGGTTTCCGTGTGTACGATGGGCACTTCTTTTGTAGCTATCTCAGTTTTCTGGGCTGCAAACGTGTCTGATATAGTCACCATTTCTGTCTTTACCACAGGTGGCTGGGGAGGGAGGAGAGAGAGAAGTGAGGGGAGAGGAAAGAGGGTTAATAAATTAAACCTGAGACAGGGAAACATAAAGTGGTCTCTATGCACTAACTTTGGAAATTCACTTCCAAGTCAATCAATTTATATGTAGTTATATTTTGTTTTAAGTGTTCAAATGTGTGTTTATATTTAATTAACTGCTCTAATAATATTAGAATGTTTTGTATTTGAAAGGGAAGTGATTCAGACACACAGGTACAGATAGCAGCAGTTGTAGATGTATGAACACAAAATTTATGCGAGAAAACGCAGCAAAATTCATGCAAAATAAAAATAAAAATCAAGAGCTTCCAAACTCATGCCAGTCAACATCACGAAATGCACAATATGACAACATCTACTGTCAGCAATTTTCGAGCTACAACAGCAGCGCCACTACAAGACACATCTTTGGCGTCAACGTGCAACTCAAAGTACGACACACAGCACAAACATGCATAAAACATGAGCCGATGAAATAAGCGATGCTCGAACGGCTGGCAAACAAAAAGGCAATTGATATGTAAACAGCATGCAAAAGATGACATTCAGATGAGAGGGCGGCTTTTGCCGTAGTGGTTGGCAATGATGATTTCCACAATGCCGTTACCATGGTGACCTTGGTGGGCCAATTACACACTAACACAGAGAGAAGCATCACTACCAAACACATGGCGGACACACACACACACACACACACACACACACACACACACACAAAAAGGTGAAATACTGCATGCGGAAAAAATAAGCAAATATACACCTAAAAGCATCATGCATTACCCACTTAGGCCCCATTTACTTCATAACACTACAATACAGAGTAGGAGGCAGTGACAGCAACACACCAAACTATGTAGGGCAGGTATGAACTCGGCATGTTGATAATGGTATGAAGTAGGATGATCGGATATAAGACATGAAGAACTTAAAATACATGAATATGGTGAAAATCTAAATAAAGACTGAAATTAATTATGAAGGGGACGGTAACACCAAAACACTGGTGGTGAATTGTATCATTAAAAAGGACTCTTCTCTCTGCTTTAACTTTCATTTTAGGCTGAAAGAAGTTTTCACAGGACAAACATGTGTGAGGATGTACATGGGGCTTAAATATTCACGCAAGCAGGTAGGAAACTGGTAAGCAGGAAGGAGAAAAAGTGGGTGTTTCTACAGTTGGTAGGAGGGATCAAAGCCCAGGGAAACTCCGCAGCCAGCCCAGTGAAGACTTTACCTCAGAGCAACAAATAACCTGCGGCCGTGGTTCTGCTTCAACCAGAGAGGCTTCTCCGTTCATTTTAGGCTCAGGCTCTTCCTCTTCCTCTGCGGGGGCGACCATCCCGGTCACGCCCTCCTCGGGCAGGGGGAGACCATTAGGAGCTTCGTCTGGCGTCACCATCGGATCATCTGCGCTTTCCTCCAGCTCCCTCTCACCGTCGTTCTCCTCTTCTGCATTCTTCTTCTCTGTCTCTGTGTCCTCTTTCCTGGACTCCTCTGCCTCTCGACCGGTCGCCGCCACATGTCGGCTGACTTCCGCTGGGAGGGAAGAAGCGTCTGGAGCCATGTCCTGCTCCGCTGTCTCCTCCTCCTCCTCCTCCTCTTTCTTCTCCTGCTCTTCCTCCTCTTCCTTCTCCTCCGGTATTTGCGTATGAGAGATGGACACGGAGACATTTGGATGGTACTCCGCTTCTTCTTCACTCTCGCTCTCAGATGAAATGCTCTCCTGCTTCACCACCTTTGCCTCCGCCGCTACCACTACTTCCTCTTCGACTTTCACTTCCTGCTCCCTTGTTTCCTGCTCAGCAGGAGGGCTGATTGTAACTATGACAAGTCCAGGTTTGGGTGCTTTGGAAACCTCCTGGACGACAACGGTTTCTTCAATTTCAACTTCGGTTGTCTATACACACACGCACATACACACGCACGCATGTACACATAGTGCAAAGACACACACACACACACAATGGAGGTGCACACACATACACAACAAACGCGTGGGGACAAAAATTGAACATAAAGTTAAAAAACTCAAACTAGCATAAATGAAAATAAAACAACACAACAAAAATCAGGAATAAAAAGATGATGATGATGTTCAACTGTGGACAAAGAGACACAAGGATGTAAGAAAGTGAAGAAGACAAACGAGCAGTCACAGAATGGATGGCTGTAGTAAGAACATGACACTGGAAGCTGGAGGTGTGGAGGAAACGGTGGATGAAAAGCATCATGAGTGGCTGGATGGATTAATAGAAGGAAGTTAGGACCACCTTTGCAGGCTCTTTGGTATCAGAGATCACGTTATCGGCAGCATCTGCTTCTGTTTGGGGCACACTCTCCTGCGAGACAGAGAAGTTACCATGACAGTTATCAATCACACGGCAGTCGCGACATCATCATTGTTAGCACTTAACGTCACTGTAGCGATAGTGTAATGCTCGTTAACCACAGCGCCGGGGAGAGGGCTGGATTTGTTACTTTATTTTATGCCTCTCTGATTCTCCCTCTCTGTCCTTGGCGGACTGTCGTTCATGCACAATTAAGTTAATTTCCGTACAATATCAAGTTTGTTGCAGCAGGCAGTGAAAGAGATGGGATGAAAGACTGGGAAATAAAAAGATCCATGGAGGATGGATTTAAAAAGAATATCCCACAGATGCTTAGCTTTACTAAAATAAAAAAAGACAGAAGAAACACAGTATTGAAGTCCGCAGTTTCTTTGAGTTGATGATGACCAGAGCAAACTTGGCATAAAAGTCCAGACTTTAAAATGTCTTTAAAATTTTCTAAGCCACAAAGTCACACATTACGACTGTCCTTGGTCGTTTTCTATAAAGCATGATGCAAACTGCAGCTTCAGTACTTGCTGCTTTTTACAGTTATTTTTTCCTAAAGGAGCTAGTAAGGGGCATTAAATTGAGCAGATTTGAATTAAATCCACACACACAGAATTACCATCACAAAGACATCCTAACATCCATGGCATTCACAGCTGTTAGTTGTTTTAGATTAGATTTAGCATGCCCGTCATTCAAGATGAATGGTCCCTGATGCAAAACAAGGATTTCTACCATTCATCCAGCATCCACAGAAGGCATTATAGACAGCTCGCATCGCTTTACTGTTGTTTGTGAACACATCTGGCAAGCATCTTTAATTAACTGAGGCATTACAGGAAGTCAGTTTACTCTCAAGGTGACTAACCTATGGTGAAAACTCTCCACAGAAAGTTTCTTACATTCTGTAAATATAAAACAATGACCCCATCACTGTTTAAACAATCAATAGGCAGATACTAATTGGCCTGAACTTAAAGTAAACTGATTGCTGAATGTTCAGTAGTAGCGGCAGCACCTCAATGGCAGAGAGTGTAGCGACTGGGGAAATAAGAAGCCCATGTGGTGCAGCAGGACCGCAGACAGCGGTGGAAGTGGTAGAAGTGGTTATAACAGCATCTAGTGTCGGTTCAGGATCACTGCAGGCAGATGTGGCGGCAAAACAAAAGCCAGTGCCAGAGTGTCTACTGAAAAGTACAGAAGCTATCTCCTCTTTAAGGCTCTACAGCAACACACAGAACACAGACGAGTAGAGAAAAGATGGGAACATTTGAGAAAAGACTGAGAAAAAGGAAATCCCTCTAAGCACAAAACAACAGACATAAAACATACATAGGAGGAAGTATAGCACAAATTAAGTAAACAGCCATGATTTGCATCTCCACATCTTGTAATGATTATATGAACCAGAGCAAAATAAAACTGATCTGTTAAGGTTATCAGAAACCAGCACATTATCACATTGTAGACGGAGCAGAATAAAATCCTTGTACTGCAGGGAAATGTATGATGTGTAAAATGTGATGCGAGCCCATCTCGAAAGGGATAAAGAATTGGAGTAGCGACAGTCAGGTTAGTTTTGTAGGAAGAACTCCTGCAGAAGAAAACCCCATATAGACCATCAAGTGATGAACGAGCGCTAAACAACAGGTCATGACAACCCTAAAAAGCTTCCCATTAAAATGCCCACTTAAAGAGTAAGAGAGGAGAGGACTGTGAGTTTTTCAATCAGGTGCACAGCCATGTGATGACAGATGTTCTCCTTGCTAACAAACCCACATTGTTTCTCTGCAGAATATTGAGTAACACAGTTAGGGAACACTGCAGTTATTTGCGAAGAGAACACTTCCTCTGAACAATGTAAGTGAAATGCCCTGTAGTTCAGGCTTCTTTTCTCAAGTTGCTGACACAGAAACATCCAGACAGACGTACCACTTGTTGCTGTTGAACACGTATCGCTGTAGCGGGAGAGGAGGTGAGACGTTTCTCCCACTGGTTGGGCTGAGGAGGAGAGGGAGGTGGCGCCTCCATAAAGGAGCGTTTTAGCTGGCTAATGCTAGCTTGGTGTTTCAGAACCTCTTCTTGGGTCTTATCATGGTCCTAATGAGGGATAAAGGGATGGGGGAGTAGAAGATAAGTATGGATAAATGATGGGTGGTAGGAATAAAGGCGGAGGGGGGTGAGTGGGAAGGGCAAGAAGGTTTGGACACAGGATAGATGAGAGAAAAGAGTGAAGAAAGAGTGAGGAGAAGGAGAAATAAATAGATAGGAGGAAGGAAGAAGAAATAATGAAGGATTGATAATAGAAGGAAGTAAAGGCCGGAGTAAAAGGAGGAATGGAGAGAAAGGAAGAAAGGAGAAACATAATGGGAATAGGAATGAGGAAAAGAGGAGGGAGGATGGGGAAGAAAGAGAGAAGGAGGGAGGATAAATGGAGAGAAGGATGGGGGAGGGGAAAATCGGTTCAACAGGTTATAGGAACATTAGTCTGTCAATCAGAAGGAAGACTAGATGGACACCATGCCTCACTGGAGCCTCGTTTAAGGGCTCTGAAATCTTAAATTTGGTTCATAACCTGTATTTTATTCAAGCATGTGTGAGTTTGTGTGTTTTCAAACAGGCTGCAGTGAAACAGGGCCTCTCCATCTTGTTGAGGAGTGTTTCTTCCTTCAATCAGGACAGATAGAGCAGGGCAGATTGCAGAACATGGAGCTGATAGTGGTGACCACACTGACCTGAATTCACATGTAAACAGTTACATTTTCAATTAGTCATCAGTTTGCTTTATTTTCTCATTCAACACTCTTAGTTTGTCATTCCTTTCATATCCATCTATCCTCCTTATTCCCTTTCACTCACATGCATTACAGGATGCAGTGAGGATATATAGACTCCTGTAATGCAACAGATACCAGCTGGCAATGCATCACTATCAGTCCCATGTTGCATAAAAAGATGTGCTGTTGTTGTTTTAGTATGTTATCAATCCACGCAGCATTCAACGCTGGCAGCCAATCACCAGAAAACAGAATTCCTTGTATGGGTTAGGGAGGCAGGATTAGTCAGGTTAGACGCAGCCGCCTGGCAATAATCGAACTCTTTGATCAATCAAGTACTTGAAATGTAACACGATAAAACAAAGGATCACAAAACAGCATTAAACATGCACAGAGCATGCATAAAAGTCACGTTCACACATCACGCATCCTATTCACAAAGCAGCCATTGTGAACACTCAGCTTAGACATTTCCTGGGGAGCAGAACCTTTGAAATATTAAGGCCATGTAAAGTTGATATGGGTCACATGAAACATTAGCATTTGTTGCACATATTTTTCTGGCCAACCGACAAATTAAGTTTAATATTCACTCTCTTTGTAGCTCTATTTAGCACCAACTCCTGAGCCAAAGACCTGGCTCTTCAACTGCTGAATGTTCCATTAAGCTAATCACTTACATTGTCTGTCTGCAGTTTGATGCTGGGTACAGTGGGTTTATAAAAGAGTTTTCTTGCTGAAAAGCTGGATACAGTGAATGAGCTGAAAGACACGCAAATATTTGCAGACCTGAGTGGAACTGCCTCATTGATAACTATGTGAGTTCAGCACCATTCACATTACATGTGGTCATTTGATCCATTGTTCACATAAAAAAAAGATTTATGCAGCTTTAAGTGACATGTGTTTTATATATAATTTATGACAACATTCTCAGTCTCCTAAGTCAGGAGTTCAAAATGGCTGCCATGTGAATTAGGACAATAAGCACTGATACCTTTTCATAGCAAAACATTTTCAATTATATTACAATTACTCAGGGGGGAAGAATCTTGAAATAGCTTAGACACGCATAAAAACACGCAGGCATGCACACAGAGCCTGAGAGTGCGAGAGGGCAGCAGTCTTGTACAGTACAGTACAGAGGAAGTTGTAGTTCTGATGGCGTCAGAGTACACAGAAACATGTAGTCCTTATTTTCGGCCATCAGACGATTCCAGTACCAACCTCCAACATTAAATTACTGTGCCTCACATAAATATTGTCCCCATACACTCTCAATGGACTCTGTAAGGCAGACATACAGTAAAAAAAAAATGAAGTGGAGAAAATTAATTTTAAAAATAGAAATAAAATGAATGTGCTCTTCAAAATAAAACAAAATCTGGAACAAAAATGATAAACATTAAGTGAATGAAATAATGAATAAATCATAATAAAATAAATAACTGTGCATGTGACGACACAGCCAAAATGTCTCAAACTGTGATGAAGGCTGGAAGCACAATTTAAAAACATTTTGGTATTACGCATCAAATGTAATGATAATGGCATTCAGACCCAATACATGCAAATTTCAAAACATCACAACACCAGCAGACACAAACCAACAAACCACCAAAGGGCTTTCAGCAAAAAAAAGGGAAAAAGAAAAAAAGAAAAAAAAAGAACCAGAAACCAGAACTGAAAATGTGAAACCATAAACCACAGCAGAGCAACCAGTAGTGAAGGCTGGGGGTGAAAGTGCCCAATCAGGATCAGTTTTTACACTCACACCCAATCTGAAAACAAAAGGTTTTAATCAGCTACATATTTATTTAGCTAAATATCAACAGCTGTTGATGTAAATATTTAGGTTTTTCAATTTCCAGATTGGTAATAGTAGCGGACAAAACTGACTCTGTATCATTGTAGGGCAACTTCACCCTGAAAAGAGTGAACCAAACCAACCAACGCGGGCAGAGCAAATGATTGACAAACTAAACACACAATCAAACAACCAAAAACAGTGTGTGAACCTGAGAGAGGGCAAGCTCACTGGCTCCAAGTGACTGTTGAAGGAGTAAAGTCAAGAAAAAAGTAAGGACAGGTTAGGTTTACTGAATGTACCATTCCTACATTATTCTCCCAAGAATTTGCAAAGCATGCTGGGTAAAGACGGACCCTACAGACCTGGGTTGGTGCGGCTTCCGCATCACCAGGGCTTAAGTCCACCTCTTTAAACTTCATGTCGCAGCCATGGCGATGGCAGGCATGACAAAATGAGCAGGATAGGGGGCACGAAGAAAGAAAAATGTGAAATGGATGATGGGAAAAGCTAGTTTCTTCCACAGCAACCTTGGCGTTAGGGAGCGCTACTGGTCATGTGACTATTGCACCAAACCCACAGGAGCAATAACATGTAAGGAGTCTGACATGGTCAATAAAAAGGAAGGACAGCAGGTGCTACTGACTACTCCTGCCTATATTAAAAGATTCACAGTCTGTGTAAGTATTATCATATGATGTACATACATTTATGTTTTTCCTAAGCAGTTTTTTATGTACATAATTTCTTTCTGGAAAACAGCACACCTTGGTAACTGCGCTACAAGTCTACAACACTGTGTTTACAACGGGTCCAAAACAAAATCAGATTCACTTCATCTACAACAAGTAAAATGCTACATCTACTATAGTTCCCGTCTAGATTTTTATGACATAAATGCTGCTTTTTATTCAAATAGAAGGATTATGGAACTATTCTCTACAATGTTTTCCACCAGGAGGCAGCTTTTACTTTAGTAGACTCAGTTACTCTGGCAGTGAGCTGAATAATCTGCATCCACAACTTCAGAGCCACCACAAGAATGCCATTATATTTTGACTTAAAACTAAGCAAACAAGGGACAGGGGGTTAAGGAGAGAGTCCTGAACCCCAGGGATCGAGGTAAATGTAACACTGTTTACTCTTAATATTCATTAGCAATAATACATAAACCAAGAAGCTGCTACAGGGTTGACGGGGTTACTGTATCTTTCCTGGGCATCTATCTGTGTGTACAGTTATAACATCTAATCTACAACTAATCACTCAGAGCAGCCCTTTCGCTGCACTACAAAGGCAAAATGCAGCAACTGTTTATCGCTTAAGTGCTAATTTATTTTGCATTTTACAAATTTACACCATTACGTCACTTCATTTGATGAGTGTGACATTAATCTGCAGTGTTAAACATGGAACAGCCGTGGAGACGGGATGCCTTTTTGAGCCTGAAACTAAAAGCGACTGATTTAAGGATTTGAAATTAATCAACTGGTTAAAACAAATCTCAAAAAGTGTTCTGCACGTCATAAATATTACTGCATTTTGCCATTGTAAATTATCCTCCAACTCTTTCCTTCCCTAATCTTTGTACAGTATTTAAATCTCTTAATATACCTATAATTTCTCTATATTAACACTATAATAATATTTTCATTATTTTAACAGTGTTTATCCTTTATCAACTCTCTGAAGTTTAATCCTTTGTTTAATCTTACTTATTCTAATCTTTGTTCTTAGTTACAGCGGGGTTGGCAGGGTGCGGGATGGTGAGAAAAAGAAAGTATTAGGTAAAAGAGGAGGTGGTGGCAGGGGTGAAACAGAGGAGGTCTAAAGGACAGAGGAGGAGTGGAAGTGGGTTTGTAGGGTGTATTGTGTGTTTTTATGCAGCAGGATCGCACATCTCTTGCGCCCAGGTAGCACTCGTGTGAGTGTGGTGCCTGATGCGCGGAGGTGTGTGTGTCGGTGTGAGAGGAGAAGCCTGCTTGTTAAAACCAGAGCTCGACTGATCCTCAGACTGATCGCTTGGCGTATCAGCGATGAACACTGGCAAAACTGCCTTCCGTTGACTAGAGACCACGTTTTCTAAGTAGCACAGAGTCAGGCCGAGGGGCGTGGCTAAAATGAGGGCTAAGACCAAGGACTGGCTTGCAGTCAGCATCACAACCAACAGGAAGACAACTAAAAGGCAGGGAAGGAACAGAGGGGAGGGGTTTAAAAGGTAGCGATGCATGGATGGGGTTAGGGTAAAGCGAGAGGGGGAGGAGCGAGATGGAACTGAAGAGAAATAAGACGGCAGAGAAGAGAGAGATGGGAGGGAGGAAAAGACAACTGGAGGACAGGTAAGGGAAGAAATCGAAGGCAAATGTAGTCGTGTTTGGAGACAAAGAACAACAGGAACCAGACTAATACATTTAGTAGGCCGACGTCTGGTAATAAACGCCACACAGGGAGTCAATTTTTGCGCCAAACTGCTAAGAATTTGACATAATCTGGGTGTAGCCATATTGGAAACGATAAATTTGGGGGCATTGAATGTGAAAATCTTTAATTTCCCTGCAGACTCTGAAGTGAGCTTGGTCACAGCGGGAGTAAAAAAGCACAGTTTCTTTGTTAATCCTGAAGACAGCGTTGTGGGCAGAAACCTGCTTCCATTCTTCCCCAAAAGGGAGAGAAAACACAGGATGAAAGAAACATATTTAACCACACCCCTCAGAGAGAACCAGCTCCACCAATGTGGTAACCCAGCTGTTGCTGTAGTTTCAGCCTCACAGCCCTCCTCAACTTCCAAAACCTCTGAACTGTATGTATCGGGGCTTGTGATTGGGTAAGAGGCCAGCGGGTTTTGTGCGAGGTGGTCAAGATCGGTCAGCTGCTGATCAGTGAAAGGAGGGGAGGTGACTTGGGGAAGAGTCCACGGTGTGTGTGAGACGGCGGTGTCGTCGATAAGGTCGTCGTCTTCGGAAATGTCTGATAGGCCGTGGTCGAGCTCGGAGATGGAGTCGAGGGAACGGGGGATGGAGGAGAGTGAGGACGATGAGGAGAAGGAGAGAGGAAACATGAAGATTGACTGATAGAGGTGGATTGCAGGAGAGATGAACACGGACAGATGGAGAGGAGAAGGAAAAAGAGGGAGAAGAGGGACAACATATAGGAGAAAACAAAAAAGTAGAGACAGAGACAGGGTGGGTGGGAAAAGAAAGGAGACCAGCGCGCACACATCCACAAAGTGAAAGAGCAAGCAGTGAAGACATAAGTTAAAAAAGAATTAAACCAAAACAACCGACGCAAGGTGCATTCAAAATATCATTTCATTTTTATGAAATGATGACAAAAATGAAGAGTATGCAAGAGTGGAAGTGGAGAAAAGCAAAAAAAAGGGAGCATGTGAAGGAAAAAAGAGAGAGGGAAAGAGACATAACATTAGTCAGTGAACAACACACCAAAAATAGGTTAAAAGTGAACATAGCAGGGTTGTGTACAGTGCAGAGTACAGTTGTGTGCAGAAACAGTGTCAACGTGGGGGCCACCAGTGAACGAAGCCTAAGACAGGGGTCAACTCCACAGTGCCGGGGTGTGAGCGAGGGTTAGGGAGAGAAAAAGGAAAGTGGGGATGGGGGGTGGTGGAGCAGGAGGCATGCAATAACATACAGTAATACACTCCAATACTAAACTGCCTGGCTACCTCGAAAGCTAGCTGTAGCCGCAAAAGTTAAAATCCAAGGAAAACCCCCTAAAATAAAGATAGCATATTTATCAGGTAAGCGTTTAAATGAAAATGTGAAACTTGCTCTGTCAGTCTTGTTGGTCTGTGTGCCTCTCTCACTCACACACACACACACACATATACACAGCTTAAGGTGGCAAAAATGTGGCTGCCTCCTGGTCCTAAAGGAGGTTAAATATCTAAATTATCCTGTGAACACAGAAATGGCATTAGCATAGGACTCTTATCGGCTGTCTCTATAGTTGATTTTAAGTCTCAGTATTAACCAGATAAAAGCACTGTCAGCCTCCCCAAAAACTCCAGTACTAAGCACGGCCCAATAGAAATGGCTTTAAAATGACACTTAATATGCCTTTACCGTGTATTACAATATTAATATAACAAACCCAGGAAAAAAGCATGTTGTTATAATGTTCTAATGAATAAAATTAAATAATGTCTCTTTCGTTGATACACAAACAGTTCCTGTGGGACAACCAGATAATAATATCATGACAACAAAGAAACAAAAAGAGTTGCTTTCTTAGCATTCTTCTTTCTGTCTTGTTTTCTGTCTCCTTCCACAGTTGCATGTAACCACACCTGTTGAAAACACAACACACACACACACACACACACACACACACACACACACACACTTAGAGTCAGAGTGGAGCTCACGCCCGTTTTCAGCCGTGTCCCTGCTGGCCTCCGTTATGCTGATCACTGGTGCTAAGGAAGGAGAAACACACATAGTAGAAATAAATTAATATAAAAATAAACATAACTTTCAACTTCTTAACAATTTAACACAAAATAAAAACATACTGATTCTTCCACCGACAGCTGCATGAAACACTTGAACACATGAAGGTCTGAGTAGACTCTCAATTCAGTCCCATACAAAGGCAAACTCAAATGATTCCCTTCCTCTACTGAATAATTTGCAGTTACTGTAACTTCTACTTTAGGCAGGACAGGGCATAACTGTTGCAGCTATTATTGTTAGTCTGGGTGTGCAATATTGACATAAAATGATATCTTGATATTTTGTGGGATTTTGTCTTTAACGATAATTAGACGATATTTGTCATCCTTCAAAAAAGTGTTTGAAAAAGTCTAATACTCACTCATGACATTAATGGAAAGAGGTCTTATTTATTTATTTAAAACTGAAGCATTCAAGTAAAAACAATATAGAAAACACTGTATTACTGACTTCAAACAGTGCAAGTATAAGTGAAACATTTCATCTGTCGCCATATTAGCCGTGAGTTCTGTCATAGCTGTTGTTATAATGGCTTTGATCCTGTCATCATCATTGTAGCGGTGTTTGACCTGGAGTTTGTTTTTGTGCTGGTACCTTTTTATATACAGTCTATTCATAGTTTTCAGTCACGTGACATGCGCAGTGACCTGGAGGGCAAAACAACGACCAACATAGTGGCTGAAAAAGCCACAAAAGCAGTCAAATTTTATTTGGATCATCTTTCAACTTTAGAAAAAGAAAGATATGAACGGTACAGCATCCGCTGCCGCATTTCTACCGTTCAAAACCGCCAGGTCCCTGCTGCCGCTCGACTGCGGTAATGTTTAGCCTACTTTTACCTTCTGGGGAATCCCTCACCTCCTAATACAGCTCAGGCTTGTCTCGATTAGTAAATCCGAAAACACAACAACCATCCAGCATTTTGGCGACACAAAAAGTAACAAACCCAAAGTAACAGTTTATTACTTGCATATTGGTTGGCAGGCAACGGAAATTAACGTCTTTTTGCCATCCAAGGGAGCATTTTCATTGGAGTGTGACGTCACGTGAAAACTATGAATGGCTGGTGCCTGGCTGGTTCAGGCCTGTTGTGGGCAGCTGACTCCCAAAACTTTTCAAATTCCTCTGTGCAGTGGTTAGTTTGTGGTCTTTAATGGCAACCGATTTTCAACATAGTTTGCTGATACACGTCTTCTGAGCAACATCTGTCTTTTCAATGCCAAACCAGCTCCATGCAAGTGAGGTTGATTCACGTTTAGCGATTCAGTCTAACGACAAAGGCTGCAAGGCTGGTGGTATCAGTGTCTTTCTCCTGGCGCTGTTTGTTTACTCTTTTTTAACTTTAGTCATGTGTTTTTCGGCAGCTATTGTTATTTCTTAATTCTAGCATATGTGTACTGCCTGCAAGAAGCAGTGACTTCGCGGACAAGGTGTTTTTTCCAAGATAACAAGGATGCTGGCTTGCAGTGGAATAATGTGTCCAGCAGGGGACAATATAAGACAGTGGAATAACCCGACTCATGTGACACAGAAGTGCACAGCTGCATGAGGTGGGGAGCCAAATCCGGAAAACCACAAAAAAAACTTAACACGGTGTGTACTGTTTGTATGACAGTGAAATATGTATTTGATGTGAAAAAGGCTCATTTAAAATTTGAATAAGAAACAAGGCTGTGTAGAAATTCAGACAACATTAGTTCAATTATTAAATGTGATCACTGCAAATTTTTCCCATATTCTTCTCTGCCATGACATGCGAATGACATGAGAGTATCTTCTGTATCTACACGCTGCATTTCTTTCATTGTGACTTTTCTTTTAGACGCGCGTAACATTCTTTCCTTCCATCTCTTTCTTTCTCCCTGTCGGTCTCTCACTCTGTGACAGGAAACACATGCTGCAGCTATTTCCTGTATCTGGTCAGACGTGAACATTTTACATCCAAACTGATGCAGAAACGCAGACACAACCCCGTGAAAAACGCTCCATCAATGACCTCACTTCCATCTGCCCATCATTCCTTCCGCTCCCTCTTTATGTCTGTGTATCCATTCATTAAATAATTGTTTAGAGTGAAGCTGGAATGTCATCTTTGTGTGTGTGTGTGTGTGTGTGTGTGTGTGTGTGTGTGCGTGCACGCGTGCGTGTGTTACCTCCATCCAGACTGCGGCTGATCCGTTTAGATGAGGTGCGTTCAAAGTTGGGTGCAGGTCGGTCTATGAGGGAGCTGGCCGTGCGGGTCTGGGCCTGGGTCCGCCCGCTGTAACGGAATTTGGAGCCCAGGGTCAAGAAGCGGGCCTTGGTAGGAGGTTCTGGTGCGTTTAACCTAGAGACAAGAGACAGAAATAGAGGGAGGGAGGGGGAGAAAGATGGGAAAATGGGGGACATAAATTTTAAAACTTATTCAGGGGGATTTACTTTTACTCTGTGTGTATGTGTGAGAGAGGCAAAAGTGTTTCCAGGCATCTCCTTCCTCAACAGGATATTAAAGCTTATTCCTCTCTCTTACACACATACAAACATGTAGCAATGAAACACACCTGGTTCATCTTTGTGTGTGTATGTGTTGCCCCAGGCATCGGACCGGTTAAACCACCACAAGATACACTCTCTCGACTTATTGTCTGGAAAGAGACCCGGCCTTTTTATTGAGCCTGATAAAGCACCCGTTTCTCCCTTGAACGTTCTCCAACAAGCTGCTACGATTACCCTAAACTCCGCACTGGAAATCTCTAAAGTTTGTGTGCATACAGAGTGCGTGTTTGCTTTGTGGCGTGTATTTAACTTTGTGTATTTCTACCTGAAGAAACTGTGATTCTCCACACAGACTTTCCACAGCCTTTTGGCAGATCGATGATTCTGGAGTTTGAATCCCACTGTGCTCTCGAACTGCTCCGTCTATCAAAGAAACATATAAGCAACAAAAATTTAACTACAGTATGTTAGAAGTACTTTGTTATATCAACACTAATAATTAGTTGCATTCTTTTGCGTAGGACTGAGGGAATCTCAGTATTTATCAGTGTGTACATACCTCTCCTGGTCTGATCTTAATGTAGAAGTTGTTCCTCTTGTATGAAATCTTGAGTATTTTGGGCCAGGCAAAACGATTTATCCGAAGTCTGTCTTTGTAAACCAGGAGTCCGTTGGCGCACACGCCAAGCATGATGTCCACACCTTCCGAATCCTGTGATAGTCATATTCAAAATGTACATAAAAATATTTTATAATATGAAATGGTTCATTAATCTCTGTGAAACATCTGTATATGATGCCTGTTTGTCTAATTAGATCATACTGTACATTCATTGATTTCTAAAGTAGTCTGCTAAATGTCAACAGAAATTCAGTTACCACGCACACACACCGTCATTGAGCACAACTCTAACATGATTAGCCAACAGACTAACGCACTAGCAAAGCTTTTAAGTCCAAGGCCATCTGGTAATGGTAAGGGGCATATCGAATACAGGAGTAAATTAACAGGAAAAATCTGTTGGACTAATGGAGGATGCAATATATTGATAATGAACAGTTTTACTGGGACATGCAAACCAGTCAAATGGCCTTGCCATCCATCAGCTGGTCATTGATCTCCGTGCTCCCAGCAGAAATACACTTTAGCACTTTGGCTTGGACACACTGACAAAACGGATATAGGAGAAAAATACTTTTCCATTTGCTTTTTGTAGTTTCTGCAAGTAAACTATTATTTCCTTTTACTTTAACAACTGAGATAGAATTCCACAGAATAAAAGATGCTCCAACGATCAAGCTTGACTTTGAATAAATACTAATAAATATTATTTAAAGAATACAGATGGTCCTAGATGTTAGATGTCATGGCTTGAATGTCAAGTGCAGTCAATTATTCTGTAGTGAAGTCTTTACTAATGTACATACTGTTTTCAGGGATTTTTGCCCCTGCTGCTGTCAGACTAATTCTCAATGGACCAAAACAACAAGTAGACTCTAAGTTATGTCGCTACAACTGCTACCTTCTGCAGCACTGCACTGTCTTTGCGCTGTTAGGTATACTTTACAAGTAGCAAGCAACTTTGTTTTTGCTGTACAACAAATGTATTAAGATACTTATGCAACACCCAATTCCATTGCCTCAACAGCAACTGTTGCAAGTTCCTTGTGTCTCTTCATTTCTTTTTTACAATGTTTGTCTCAATACACATTATAGCTACTATTTATGTCTGGATATAGTGTATATATTAAGCATGTTTTATTTTTATGTTTCATTTTGTATAGTAGATGCTCATAATGTATATAGTATTCTGTTCTGAAATTACTAATCTATACTCTGCATCTGTTCTTGTGCTTCTGCTGCAGTTTGCATTTAATCATGACAAGTCTTGTATTTCACTTTTCAGATTTTATCAGAATTCTTAATGTATCAAATTGTATTTCCATTAAACAGAAAAGTGTATTTGTTCAATATGATTCTGATTATCCAGTGTAAAATTTGAAAGGAACCATTTGTGAGCGTTAGGATCATGAAACTTGCACAACAAATGAATGGTACACAACAGAAATAGATCTGCCCCTTGAATTCCCACAACTTTGGTATGCTGGGAAAAAAAGAAAGAAAGACTTTCAACGTTTTGAAATGGTCTCTGTGCTGCCCTCATCTTTTCCCCTGGTTCTCTCTCTCTGTGTTGCAAACAAGTGGAGCATGCCCTTAAAGGGGACGTGCCTTTTTCAAGGATCTGTCCCCATCTCATTCTACCTTTATCTCTGTCTGTCATGTCTTTGTCTTCTCTACGTCCTCAATCTCATGTCCTCTCCTTCTATTTTCAGACACTCACTCTCTCTTTCCCTCCCTCCCACATGCATGTATATTTACAACATTTTTTTCTGCCTGTCTTGTGCAGACACACACGAACATACTCAGACACACATGGAAACATGCACGCACGCTGATGATGACCCGCAATCCTGACTGGCTGTTCCCATGGCAATGGCCTCTCTGAGTGTTTGTACAGCTGACACACAGATACAGAGAGGAAAGGAGAGGAGAGGAGAGGATTCATTAATTGATTCATACCTTAGCATGGTGCAGGTCCACCCCGTACATGGACAGTTTCTTGGCATTTTCTAGAAACTGAGCGTCGGCCTGTGCTGGTGTCATTCCCCTAATCACACAGAAACACCCTCAGATTAATATTAGTATTGTGTCCAAACCATGTTGTCAAGAAAACACACGTGAAATGTTAAAATTAAAACGGGAAATGAGCGATCCTGCACACGAAACAGCTGTTTGCTATTAGAAAGATAACAGTTATAAAGACCCAGAATATGGGTGAAAGGATAGATTAGCACACGCAGGTAGCAGGGATCGTCTGAGCTACAGAGAGAGCTGGGGGTGTGTTAAAAGGTGTAGCTCCCGACACGCAGTTAACTCATGACTGAGGTTACACCTCACGGCCCAAAAAGGAGAACAAACGCATGTGTGTACATATTCAGCTGAGGTCTGCGGCTTACTTAGGCTAGCCTTCAACTCAACAATCAATCATGATTTCAGCTAAATGCTAAAGTTGTTGTTACTCGTCTGTGTTCTGCTAACAGAACACCGGGTGCTTTCTAATCAGATGCCATTGTGCTGTTGCCGAGGTGACATAGGTTTCATTTTACAGTGGACGGATGGTAACATTAACTTCTTTTAGCTTGAAATAATCCCAAACTTTGGACACTTTCTTCTTTGTCCCTTGCGATTTTCTCTCTCTTCCTGCACTTTGCAAACAGTGCCATTATAATCACCTCTTGTTCACAGAATAAGCGTGATGTGCCACAGTTATAAATGTCTGTGCGAAACAGGGTGCTGGATAGTTACATGGATTAAACGAACAAAAGAATTTGCGTCAAAGCATTTTAGTAATCGATGCATCGTTTCAGCCCTACATAAATCCATAATGTTTGAATTATACAGAACACGAAAAAGATCCAGTCACGGTCGCTTTACTACAGAGGTTATACATACAGATGACTAATCTATCTAAAGCTTTTAATGACAAGAATAAGACATAAACATGTCCATGACTACTTTTGTCTATGTGACTCTGGTTCTCTCTGACCTGTGAGACTTGTGGAGCTCAAGAATCTTCTCCTCCATCTCCTTGTTCTGATTGGGTGCAAAGGTCCGCTGACCGATATAGTCCAGAGGGCGAGGCTGGTCGGGTTCATAGTCACCAAATTCTGCCTGGAAACCAAAAGGAGACAGCTGATTCATACATACTGATACATAAACAAAGACGGGTTACCAAGCAAAGTCATATCTGGAAACTGCACACTTGCTAGCTCCTCGCCCACCTGCACAGACATACAGTACATATCCACACATAGTATATTCTACCTGCAATGTGTATGACCCCAGGAGAGCGTGAGTGACAAATGAGCAAGGCAGCCGACCAGAAGCCACATCTTCACGGAGCTGCAGACACAAAAGGTACCTGCGAGAGAGAAAAAGGGAAACAGGCAAGGTTTTAGCTGAAACTAAGCCTACTCACAACGACAAAAAACTCGTTCTGAGCCTTTATTTGAACAGGACTGGCTCCATTGTTCATGATGACAATAAAGAGATCCCAGTGGCCAAATTGTCTCTCCTCCTGTGAGGCCCAAGCACAGAGTCAGCTGGGGTGGATTTAATCTCTTTGTTGGTGCTGTATGTCTAATACACACCATGACATGCCCAAACTCAGTTCCATAGCATGTGCGTTTGCACTAAGTGCATTGTCCAGTGGTTCTGTGGATTTACGATAGTTTAAGCTGTCCCCTGCAGTAAACCTATAGGGATGGATTCATTATGTGAATGGAGCTTCTGTGTGGATTACTAATTCTGACACCTCAGGGAGCTAGTGAATGTATCATCCTGGCTACTGAAAATGTTATTCAAAAGTCTCTGCAGTGGGACCGACACTTTCTGACATGGATGCTTAAACCCCAGTCATCCAGTTACAGGGCCTCTCTTCACTAGCCAAATATCCTGTCCCTGGACAATTCTTGATTGAAAACATCTTAAATGAATTACATTCCCTTTATATATAAAATATACATAATAATAATAATAATAATAATAATAATACAGTGTGTGGCAACCCCTGTGAAAAACATGTATTAAATTGCATTTAAAGCAACTACAAAGAATTTATTTTGTGTTGGTTTTGGCGAACCCTATACCCTGTACACTACCTAGTGAGTGTACGTCACAGACTGTATGTTATTGTGCGTTCCGTTTACCTCGGAAGTTGGAAGTCGGAGCTGGTAATGACGTCACACCCGAGTTGACCCGGTTCCAGTACACAAAAGATTTCAAGTCAGAAAACCAAGATAAACCCCACTGGCCATTGTTAGCAATACCAGTTGAAAATAATGCTTTATGCAGTATGCTGCACATACAAACAACGTAGCAACAGGTCCACAGATTTAAGTGTGGTGGACAGTGTGTACAATGTATGAGACACAAATAAAGAAAGAAGTGTGATTAAAAGTATATTACTACAGCTTTCACTCTGTTGATGCTCGGACCAGCCATCTTGGATTTTGAATTTGGGGTTGGTAAGGTTCTGCCGACTGAGTCGCGCGCGTGTCCTCGATTAGACTTTAGCTAAAACCATCAGAGAAGTTGTTCATCAGACATACACACCCGCCTAAATGCTGTGTGCTTGGAGCATGCAAACAGCAGGCAAAGTACTGTTCCATATTAGCAGTTATATGGAGCGTGTTTATATGGAAGAGACGCTGCTTTCTTAATCTTTGAAAACTGTACAACCCTGGAGCAGTGTGAATGAATTTGCTGTTCAGAAAATCTGATTCTTGATGAAATATGATTGTTTTGTAGAATCGAATAAAGTATATAAAAAGTGTGTGTGTGTGTGTGTGTGTGTGTGTGTGTGTGTGTGTGTGTGTGCTCGCACGCATATATGTACAAATACAAAATTAATTAACAATGTGTACAAAGCCAACTTGTGTCTGTTTTTGTTTGTTTGTGTTTCAGGCCTTAGACATGCAAATAATTTATTTTATTTTAAAGCTGCACTTATCAATAATTTTTATATAAAAAAATGGGTCAGATGATTATGTGTCATGTGAAGCTTACATTAACAGCCCACAGAGACTTATTAAGCAATTCTGCAGTTCTCCACAGTTCTACAGAGCCTGTTAGCATCTTTCAGCTCAAGGTTTTGGTTTTAGGGCTTGTTTCAGTTCACTCTCACTGCATTTCCAGTAGCAGTTGCCAGCTGTTCTCAGCAAAAAGCTTCTAAGTTGACGCTGCCTGCTGAGATTATGTGTTGAAGACCAAAAAAAACAGCCAAAAAAAGAAGGAATATTGGCCTTATATTCATCAGGGGGGCAGAAACATAATAATAAATGTTACTGTCACTAAATGCGTAAGTGGCAACTGTTTGCTAACACATTCACTATGACAACTTAAAAAGATAATAATATGTCTATAATTTTGTTTACAATTTCTCCAAATGGACATAAAAGTAAAATAAGTAAACAGTGGTACATCTCTAAACGTGTCAATGTGTGTGTACCTGGTAATGTCTTCAGTGAGCAGTGAGGGTTCAGGAGGGTAGAACTTGACGTTGAACGCAAACTTCCAGTTGTTACCTGGAGAAAGAGAGTGATTTACAGCGCAATTACATTGTATATAACCAGTACAGGGGAATATGTCTATATACTAGAATAACACGGTCTCAAGTAGGATTCTCTTTAGTTTTAATATCAGTATTATAATCAGAGTGGTCTCTTTTTCTATGCAATTCCATCCATCCCTCTGCCCATCTCACCCATCTGCGAGTGTGTTTAAGAGGCAGGGAGAGAAAAGTGAGGGCAACTAATGCAGAACAGCTTTTAAACAGTACTAAGCCTGGTACATCACACGCACGTATACACACACTCAAATACAGCAGCAGATCTGGTATTGCATAACCTTATTCTGGCTTCACCAAATACCAAACTGTAATCCTAATCATCATCATCATCATCATCACCACCACCACCATCAGAAACAAAGGGCATCACCATCACTATCACCATAATATCTTCATCCATGTGTCATAATACAGTTTGCTTTAAGATATCACTAATTTCATATCAATTTCATTTGGCTCCAATTTTCTATTCTTATTCCCGCAGGCGGCCATATTGACCCCTGCCACCTTCTCCATGTCCAACCTCTCTATTTTGCTTGGCTCCACCCAACAACACACACACCCATCATGTGGAAAATTCCATCCGGACGTCACATCGAGACCATTTCCTCCTCCAAGGTCACACACACTTCGACGTATACACACACACACACACACACGTGCATGCAAGTCCTCACATACAGAAACACACACGTGCAGACACAGAGCCCTCGCAGCTGCATCCCAGAGGAGCAGGAAGACGGTCCTGATTCCTAGCTTCTGTGTGTGTCTATTTGGGGTGTGAGTATGTGTCTAGGAGTGAGATTGAGTTGGTATGTTTCATTGGCAGCACTAAGTGCTTTGGGAATCTCTGGTGACCATTTCATCTTTCTACACAACCACGTGCTGCCCATCAATACACCCCATGATGCATAGAATATACACACACTGATACACATCCTGTCCCTATGTGACATTTGTTACGATGGATTTGACTGCAGACAAATCAATTGTCTAGGTTCAAGGCTATTTCTAGGCTTTCAGCCCTTTTCTGAAAACCAGTACCTCAGCTTCTCGGGAGTACATTTTCCCTCTGATTTTTCTCCTTTTTACTGTAGTGCTGTCACATTTTCAGCTGACCCACGAATTTTACTTCATCTTCCCTCTATGCGGCTCATGATCTATCTTCATCTTCACCATCCATCTTCTATCATCATCTGATCAGATTTACCTATTTTTACTCAGGCCCCATCCACTCTACTGCGTTTCTGTTTTAAAATGGAGACATTTTGCTACGTTTGCACCTCCTGTCCAGACTAAAAAGATGAGAACGAAGACCTAAAACAGAGAAGTTTGAAAACACTGCCGACCCCGTTTTGAATTTTACAACCATGGAGAACAGAGGACTTTAGAAACGATGATGCAGACGCTCATGTGTGGCTTTCTGATTGGGTGTCATAAGTCATACAAAGCAGAAACACAATGCTACTGACAGAGTTTTTGATTTGGTATTTTTATTAAAATATTTTGACTGCGCAAATAACACTTAGGCTATAGCCTACACACTTGTACTGTGTAAGTTGGTGTTTACTTCATGATGACTTCCAGTCTGTTTGTGCCTGTCAACTCTAAAACGCAGCGAAAACGCGTCTGTGGACGGAGATAGTATTCGTTTTAAAACTCGGAGTAGTGTGGATGGGGCCTCAGTATCCAACTCCCATGAACACAGGCCCACATGATACAGTCTCTCTCTCTCACTATAAACACTAACACACAGAAAAATGTACACAAATGAATACGTGGCCAGTCTGAGTACCACTCATGCATGAACTACAGGCACACACAGCCACGAAAACACAGGTATGCATGTTCACCACACACTATGCGCTGCTTACACGTACACACGAACCGCACACAGCCTGCACACACCCAGGCGTAACTACCTCACATGTACTAATTCTAAAATAACACTTTATGAGCCAAAATTATGTTTTAGTAAGACTTCCTCTTAAAAGTGCTATTTGAAGTTTAAGGTGCACCAATAGAGCTTGTTTGTTTTAACTGTAGTGTAAAAAGCCGAAGCCAGAAATCAACAGCAAAAGAAGAGAAGCTTCATGGTAGTCAGCTAGTTATTGCCATACTATACAAACCCCCTCAAAATTATTAACATTAACAAATAATTACAAAAAACAGTCCAACTCTAAATACAACAAACTCATTTGAAATCCTCAAAAAATGAAACTGGAGAAACAGCATTCCTCTAAATTCTAACAAGATCCCGTTTGTCAGTGTACTCTGTACTAATGACGTTACCATAAATAGAGGATGCCTTCTTAATTGTTGCAGGCATGCACCTGTGTGCATTCAAAGATAAAATAGAGCTTTGACTATGTTTTGGTCCACACGCTCAATAGCTGTCTGTCAACAAAAGATGAGATGCCACGCCTTGCCCCGCATTTATAAATGAACAGCAGTTAATAAAGAGAGCAATGAATAATGAAGCAGAGTGATCACACTTTGGTGACCGCTTCTTCAGCTCTGGCAAGACTGCTGTCATTTGGTTTCAAATGTCTCTGGCTTTGTTTGACTTTATGATGCTGTTCATTCTTCCTTTGATATCGGGATACTTGAACTCTTTTATTAATTCAGCCTCGATATTTAATTCATAACCTTTTGGCTGAGAAGTTGCGGCCATGGTGTATAGTAAGAGACATCTTGTTGAGGCAGGCTGAGGGAGACAGAGGAAAGGCAGCACGAGCGTGAATTGAAAAATAAAACTTACTGCGTATCTGTCTCTTGATTTCCTTAGTGGGATCCAACCAACACTGGAGTGAGAGGCAGAGAATGACAAAAATATCATGAAACAGTGTCACAAGACAACATACAGACGTCTATTTCTGGAGTTTCTATGTGTGTACATTACTGACTTATTTGACATATACAAACACACACATCACTATGTGTGTGTGTGGATAGAACACATACCTTCTGTTCATGGCTGTCCGTGTATGCCAGACCGAAGTAGTCTTTTTCCAGTAGGTTAAGGTGCTCACACACCTTAAAGAATAAGTACTGGCCCTTCGCACGTTTCTGTGTGTGAGTGAGTGAGTGAGTGAGTGAGTGAGTGAGTGAGTGAGAGAGAGAGAGACACACAATGATTAAAGTTTGCACCTCACTTTAAATTTTGACAGGAAAACAATAAAAGCTACTATATTCCAGTTTGTCAAGCTTCTAATTGTCATTTTAAAGCTTGAGAAATATGATTGCAAAAATATATGAGTACCCTGTGAAATTTAAGAGATATTATAAAGATTATAAAGTCTCTGTTCCATCCTCTCTATCAATGCATCTCTGTTTCATCTGTTTTATCTACATCTGTTCCATTATTCTCTTGCTCTTCCATCTGTCTCTGGGCAACACATTCCTTCATAGGGCCTGATGGGAGCCTTAGCCATAAAATCCTCCACACTCAACTATGACAATGACATTTAGCACACATCCATGCTTGCGTGCACGCACACAAAAACGCGACGGCGCCCTTTGGACAGACAGAAGGTCAGACAGAGGGTGGAAACGATGAGAAAGAATGAAATTATTAAATAAAAATTTGTTTCTTTTCTGTGAGTCAGTGCAGTCTCAGTCTAATGCACCAAATGACAGTGGCATTGCGCAGACAGACTCGCAGACAGGGCAGGGAGGGAACGTGGTGAAAGTGGAAGGAAAGAGGATGAAAGAGTGCATTTTTCTTCTGGTCCTGGGACAGCTGAAAACATCTGCGGTATTTTCCTATACTTGGGTCAAGCACATGCGCTGCATACACGCGCTCACAGTGTAGTTGCATTCTGAACGCCCAAAGAATGTGAGAATGTGACCTTTTACGGTTTCTGTGTCTGTGCCGGCGTGCCTGCATGCAAGGCACTACCTAAGATTAATTTGTCGGCTGCAGGCTGTTTCAGGACTTACTTTATCCACAAATTTCTGTATGTCTGTCACACAGTTATGCGATAGACATTATGATGGGTCAGGCAATGGACTATTTACATAGTGCCAACTGTTGATCAAGGGCAATATACAAGAAAATGGCTTTTAAATACATTTTGCAGCTTGGATCCCCAGCAACAAAAAATGACTGTAAAAGCTGAGTGACCTTAAATCCCTACATCACCAAGCATCAAACTGTTGTAATTGTAAGATTCAACTAAATGAAGTCATAAATACAATCATGGGGAAGAATGAAACCATAACCATCATATAAAAAATAGAGAGGTAAAGTGTGTGTCTGTATCTATGTTATCTGTGTAAACAGGAGGCAGTAAATGCACTGCTCTATGTGTCACACCCAAAGCAACTGTGTCTGATATTTGTAAATACTACTCGACTCATGTCTGACTGAAGCCTAATGAATTCTATGAAACAGTTCTTAAACCGTGTGACACTAAAATCCTGCTGAAACCAATACTAATGAAATTCTTAGAAACAGCATTAAGACCATGTGACACTAAGACTCTCGTTTGAAACCCACTATTAAAGAGAGTCAGAGAAGGTCTGGACACTACACTAAAGGCACTACAGCTATAAAATATGCATTAAGTTATTACACTGGAATAAATGTGATGCCATCGTTCAGAAATAGGACAGGAGGATAACAAAAGAATGGACATGGAGTTAGAGTAGACACTGGTATAAGTGTGTGTGTGTGTGTGTGTGTGTGTGTGTGTGTGTGTGTGTGTGTGTGTGTGTGTGTGTGTGTGTGTGTGTGTTGAAGGTCTGCTGGGCAAAACAAAAATTTAATCTCTGGAATGCATTGTGCATCTCTCCCTCTCACAACCTAACTATGCTAGTGTGTGGAGGGAGGGATTGATGCATATGTGTGTGACTCTGGGTGTGTGTGTGTGTGTGTATGCACAATGTGACAATAGCAGTTAGTGGCAGTATCAGCGTTTTTTGTTGCAAGACAAAGCAGCTACTGTTCAAACGACGGTAGACACTCACAGGCACGCCGATGGGCGTTGGCATACTGTAGATAAAGGTTCACTGCGGTAGAGTGAAATCCCCAGATCAAATGGGAAAATCTAGACGTGGAAAACGCTCAATATTCTGTTGAGGAGCCCTTGAACCAGGCACTGAACAACTGTTAACAGATCGAGTGGACCTGCACAATATTCTGGGCAGCTTCCCACTGAATTTGAGTGAGTGTGGGAACGTGAGGAGGGGTATTGCTAAAAAAGCGCATGCAGCTTGGGAAAGTTTCTAATCATGAGCTATGGTAATAATGAGAAAAACACCATCTGATAAATAGCAACAGCGGAGAGACATTTATGGTCAAATTGTTTATACTTCTCTCACATTAAATTACTAATTTCTAGTAAAGTAAATCCCAAATCATTCTCGCTTACTTTTTTAGGGACCTCATAAATCACAAACGTATGACTAGAGAAACAGTTTAAATCGGTATTGCTGATAAATTGTTAAAGCAGAGCCTGTGAGACCAGCATGAATGACATGATGTTGAGAGTACATGTGTGGTATGTTGGAGTGTTTGAAGAGGGGTCTAGGGCACATGCTTGTTAGGGAGCAGCAGATGCAGAAAACTAATCTGGTGGGACCCCCATAATCTGCCAGGTTTGTGTGTGTGTGTGTGTGTGTGTGTGTGTTCTCTGATCACCAGACAAGCCCCTGTAGCATGCTCTGCTTTGCACTGCATTTATCCCCTAAGCCACGCCCGAACAATGAGAGCAGGCGCTTCTGCCATAACTGCACTTTGAGTCAGAAAGCAATAGCTCAGTCACACAAACAGACTCATTTGTTCCTCTATCCCTGTGAGGACATCTCATTGACATAACGCCTTCTCTAGACCCATAACCTAACCTTAACCATCACAACAACATGTCTACCCCATGTAACACAATTGTAGCCTGAACCCTAAAACCACATATTAACCCTACCCATGTAGAGACCCATGAGTCCCCATGGGTTAGTGTGCTTTCAGGTCCCCACCGGGATATAAAAACATGAACCCCACACACACACACACACTAACACATAAGAGACGTACACACATCAGATCTGATCCTATTAGCGATTACATCATTGACACACTGGCACTCACGTGTGGCCTACTTGACTAGCAAATATAAGATGTGTCAATCCTCTCCGTCAGTAGCGAGTTGAAACCTCCCACTTGTTGATCCTCCCATTAACATGTATGTTGCATGTCAGTGTCTAATGACTAAAGTGGTCTCATCAAATACAGGAATGCTGATAGTTAATGGGATGGTTTTATCTTGACACCATGGCACTTTCCCAGGAAAACATTAAAGTGGAAAGCTCCAAACGTTCTCCATTTTCTATCGCATTCTGTAATTATGCACACGACAGAACCTTGGTATGATCCCATGTGATAAATAGAGAACTACCCTCTATCCACTTCTTTTTCTTATTTAAATAGATGTGAAGGGAATGAGGGCTGCTTTAAAACTTTGCAGCAGCATGACAGAATATGGGGGGTGTTAACAAACAGTAAGACGAAATAATGCATCCAAGACCTTTTTCAGGAATTTAATTTAAATAACATCATTTGAGACATTTAAAACCTTAGGATCTGCAGAGATTCACACATTACTCGTTGGCCCCCCTCCCTGCTCCATGCCTACGTTCACGTTCTACATTGCATCCGTCTTTGTCAAAATGCTTACCTCTACCTCACAGGTGAAGTCGGTCCCGTCCAGCAGTGTCACGCGACACATAATCAGCTTCATCTTGGTCTTCCTCACCAAGCGAAGAGGAGACTGGAAAATGGAGGTCTGGGCTTCCCCTCCCTCCTCTTCACCTTTCCCCTCTCCTTCCTGCTCCTTCTTTTGCTCCTCTGCCCCTTCTCCCTCTGTTGCCACCTCAGCCTCCCCAGGGCTTTTCTCAGGGCTCTCCTCCGCCTTCTCTTCCTTGGCGGGCTGACGGAGATTGTGAGGTGCCGGGGGGACAGAGAGAAAAAGGTGTGTCAAACCACAGTTAACGCACACGGCTCCCCCTCTGTGGTAATAAAAACCTGCGATCTTCTTAAAAAAGTAATCATTTGTTTACTAGCATGATGGAAATCACCTAAAATCTGACTTGTCCAACTAAAGTGGGAACACTGCTTTCGTTTTATCACTCTGCTTTTAAAATTCCCCTTCTAGTCTGAATTTGATCTTAGAAACTGCAGGCGTTTCTTTTGGCCTGATTACTGAAATGTTGATGTCACTGGGTGGGCCTGGGTGGCTAAATGTGATCACTTGATGGAAAGGTTTATGTGTGTGCATGTGTTTGAGGGGGAATGGCTTTGTGTATGTGTGAGTGTCAGTCTCTCTCTCTCTCTCTCTCGGCTGAGCTGCAGTTTTAAACAGCCTGCGTGTATTGCTGTAATTTGTCAGTGTACCTTTCCATTGTTTAAGCATTGTGAAAAATATTATCTATCTATCTATCTAGTAACTGAATGAAGTCTGTGTCCACAAAAATATGTGGCTGACTGACAAAGGAGGATATTTGTTTAGGCAAAATACTTTCCACCCAGGTTACTGTTGGAGGGCAAGTTCACAGTACAGTATTTTCACTGGCAGCCATGCTCCTACTCACATGGTTATGTTAATGGAATAGTCATTTCTGGAAATTAACTCCTCAACCTTTCTTATCTAGAATTAGATGAGAGGGTTGATACCACATTTGTGTTTGCTGGACTAGGCAAGGAGAAGTCACTTCCTAGAGTCATCGCTGCCTGGCAACCTCACGGCTACAAAAAGAATCCAAGAAGAGACTGCGCACAGCCAAGAAGCAGTCCAGCACTAACCCCCTTTTAAAACCACAACTTACAATGCAAATAAATGTAAATAAATGAGCTTTGGAGGTGCAGGTAGCTGGATTTTGTTACATCTGGACAGATCCACGGCTTGCTGTTTCCCCCTACTTCCAGATTTGATGCTACACTAAGCTAGCCGGTAGCTTAATTTCTAGCAGACAGACAAGTCATATCAATCTTCTCATCGAACTCTCAGCGAAAAAGCACATAAAAAGGTACATTCCAAAAATGTTGACCTGCTGCTTTATTATTTGAGTATTGTGAGCACCAGGTAGTGGATGCCTTAGGTCAAAAGGTTCATAAACCCTGGTACGCGGGCCCAGATCATTTTCTACTGGGCCACAAAAAATCCATATGATTCAAAAATAAAAGCTGTACAGTCCATTGTACCATTTATACTGATGTATCCAGGCCGTTATCACCACCTTTAAGTATTTCGCATACTATCTGTCACTATCTGCATTAGGGCTGGGGCGATTTGTCGACGTAATCGATTGCGTCGATTACGTAAATATGTCGACGCGCATTACGTGCGCCGACGCTCCGCTGCATCCGGTGTGGGATTATCCCGGACAAGCTCCAGCTACAAGACCGCACCTTCGACCGCCAAGTATTTCAGACAGACACTCAACAACGTGGTGCTCCGTGAGCTCTCTGAACTGGAAACAGCTTCACTGCAGCACAACTGCTGTCCACGAATAGTGAAGCAGCACGAACACGTGAAACGAAAGTATCCCGCAGCACTTTGTCTAGACAGCAGCACTGCAAATCGTGTTTACTTTCTGTCGCCACACAAGCACAGCACATTATCAGCACGAGGACACGTAGTATTTCTTCATTGCCTTCATGTTAAAAGTAATTTCTGCCCCGCTGCTGTCATGGTAACGTAACGTTACACCGCGAGTCATGTAACGATAGGCTGTTTCATATTTTCTGTTTATTGTACGTATGAGCGAGAAAACAGCTGAATCTGATTACAGACTATCTGTGACAGTCTGTACAGTCTGTGAGTCCTTTCAGGTGTTAACTGATGCAGAAATACATTTTATTATCATACTGCATTACTTAATATTGAAATGAATCCATGTCAGAAACATTTAAAGTTTTAAGTAAAGTAGCCTAATTAATGTCTGTTATTGTTATTATCATAACACATCAGTGACGTGAAAATTTTATTCATTTTAAGATTTGCTGCTATTGTCATTATTCTAATGTGCTTCATCAGGATGATTGAATAAAATATAAATTTACTGATTAGACATGTTTTTGATATTTATTTTGGATAAATTGGTATGTTAATTGAGTAATAGGCAACTTTTCTTTCTTTAGAATAAACAAGATTAGTCATTAGATTAATCGACTAATCAAAAAAATAATCGTTAGATTAATTGACTTGAAAATAATAATAATGTACAGCCCTAATCTGCATATTTTCTAGTAAATGCAGTAAATGAAATTTAGTCTCAGTTTAGTTTTTATGCTTGCACACTCTATCATACAAATCATCAAATCAGCATCATTTTTGAACCTGCATGTGAATCCGCAAGCAGACTAATCGAAGACCTTGTATCTACTTTATCTTTCAGCATGTGCACTGATGGGGTGTGCAGAGAAATGACGCTACGTGCGAGCAATACCTCAGTCTCTGCACTGGCGTTTGAATGAGATTCTGCTTCTTTTTCCTTCACTTGCTCAGACGTTACTGCCTCCTTTTCTTCCACTTCCTCAGCGTGACCGTTCACTTCTGGGGCAGGCCCTTCCTCTTCCTGGGTCACCTTGCTAACGGCTTCCTCTGTGGGCGGGGCCTCCTTGGTCGGGGAGGTCTTCATGGGTCAGGGGGGAGGGGACATTAAATACCCCATCAAACAGTTATGATTGGAACATAAATCGACTGCTGTTTAATAACTTATCTATAACAAGAATTTTACCTGACTCTGAGACTTCTGCTTCCTAAGCCATGTTGGCAGGTATCGAGATATTCCTTTCCCCTCTTTATCCTTCTCCTTCTCTTTTTCCTTCTCCTCTCCCTCAGTGTTCGCTACTTCCTGGGTTTCCTCCGAAGCCTTCTCCGATTGGTCTGGCTGAGCAGCA